AACGTTTATTTATTTTTGGGACAGAGAGAGACAGAGCATGAACGGGCGAGGGGCAGAGAGAGAGGGAGACACAGAATCGGAAACAGGCTCCAGGCTCTGAGCCATCAGCCCAGAGCCCGACGCGGGGCTCGAACTCACGGACCGCGAGATCGTGACCTGGCTGAAGTCGGACGCTTAACCGACTGCGCCACCCAGGCGCCCCCATTCATTTGTTTATTCATTCATTCATTCATTCATTCATTCATTCCATACTCTTGTTTGATATCTTTCCTCAGAATTTTGTAGTTTTCCTCATGTAGACCTTGTACGTATATTATTAATTTATACCTAAGTATTTAATTTTTTGTGGTGCTAATGTAAATGGCATTGTGGTTTTTGTTTTTCTTTTTGAGAGAGAGAGAGTATGCACACACACACGCATGTGTGGGGAAAGAGCAGAGAGGGGGAGACAGAGGATCCAAAGCAGGCTCCGTGCTGTCAGCACATAGCCAGTTGTGGGTCTTGAATTCACAGACTGTGAGATCATGACCTGAGCTGAAGTCAGACACCTAACCGACTGAGCCTAGCATTGTGTTTTTCATTTTAAATTCCACTGTTCATTGTTGGAAAGTGATTGGGCTTTGTGCATTATTAACCTTGTATGCAACCTTGCAGTAATTGCTTATTGGTTCCAGGAGTTTTTTTGCCAGTTCTTGCAGATTTTCCACACAAATAATATATATAATCCTGTCATTTGTGAACAAAGACAATTTTATTTTCTCTTTCCCAATTTGTATACCTTTTATTTCCTTTTCTTGTATTATTGCATTAGGTAGGACTTCTTGTATAATGTTGAACAAGATTGGTAAGAGGAGTCATCCTTGCTTGTACCTTATCTAAGTAGGAAAGTTTCAAGCTTTTGACCATTAAGCATGATCTTAACTCTAGATTTTTATAGATATTATCTAATTGAGGAAATTTCCTCTATTCCTTTTTATTGAGAGTTTTTATTATGAATGGGTGTTGGATTTTGTGAAATGCTTTTTCTGCATCTCTCTCTTTCATTTAAATTTATTTTTTTCATTTAAATAATCTCTATACCCAACGGGGACTCTAATTCATGATCCCAAATCAAGAGTTGCACAGTCTTCCAAATGAGCCAGCCAGGCACCCCTTTTTCTGCATCTCTTGATATGACCATGTGATTTCTCTTCTTTAACCTATTGATGTGATAGATTGCATTAATTTGATTCCCTAGTGGAGAAAACTTCTCATCCCATATGTATAATATGCTCCCTGGGATGATGCTAAACTCAGCATACATACAAAAAGATTAATCACTTTGGGGCGCCTGGGTGGAGCAGTCGGTTAAGCGGCCGACTTCAGCCAGGTCACGATCTCGCGGTCCGTGAGTTCGAGCCCTGCGTCAGGCTCTGGGCTGATGGCTCGGAGCCTGGAGCCTGTTTCCAATTCTGTGTCTCCCTCTCTCGCTGCCCCTCCCCCGTTCATGCTCTGTCTCTCTCTGTCCCAAAAATAAATAAATAAACGTTGAAAAAAAAAATTTTATTAAAAAAAAAAAAAAGATTAATCACTTTAAGATGGAGAATTTAAAGATTATATATGCAGAAAAATTTTTTCATCAAGAGGAAGAAAAGTGGAAATAAAAGTTATACATTAAAACATCAGAACATTATTTTGTGGATGTCATATTGATGGACAGCAAATGATATTAATAGGAACTGTATCCCAGGGTCTCCTACCCCATGTTTTTTTTAAATTTATAGGACCAACCTTTGTTGACATACTCTATTATTAGCACATATTAGCTTATGTTTAAAATTTCTCCACCTTTATTTTTTTTTATTTTGTTTGCAGCACATCTAAATGTAAATAGCATTTTTGATTGAAGAAACTAGTCCAATTTACTTTTTTCCCATAAATGGAAAAATGAGACATATAATTACATTTGTTTAATTATATACATAATGTTTTAATTTTGCCCTTATAAAATGTTCTTAATAAATGCCTACATGTACAGTATTATCCCTATCTTATATCTATGGCAGGAAATGTAACATGGCTAAGGTTCCCTAATAACAATTGGATTAATAATCAGAAAACAGAAAATAACTGTTCTTTATTTTTTTAAATGAACAAAATAATCATCATTTTCCTTTTAAAGTGATTTCCTCACACCCACATTTACTTAGGTGGGGAGCAGCCTATTCCTCTTTGGAATGAACATGATGGGACGGCAGATGGAGATAAGCCTAAAATTCTACTCTATTCCCTGAATTTGCAGTTTAAGGTAACATACAAATAATTATACTTTTCAAAGTATTTCCCTAATTTTTTAATTCTAAATTTCTAATTTTTTAGCTATAGAAAACTCATATTATACATAAATGTGCCAAGTAGAAAATAAAAATGAAGTATAACCCCATCCACTCAAGAGAAAATGCTTTAACAAGTGAATATTCTTTAGTACTTTTTTCTATTTGTATTTTTACATATGCATATTATTTATGCATTTTAAAAACTTTGGATACCTTTCCATGTCAGAACATATAGATCAACTTTATCTTCCTCAACAGCTCTACTATTTATTATATAGTTGTAACAGTTTATTTAACTCTTCCCTACTGGTAAATATTTTAATTTTTGTCTAATTATTACAGCTATAAGTTACTCTGTAAGATATATTTTGTACATTTGTTCAATTAACAATAATACCTTAATAGAAACCTTAATATTTCAAATATTTAAGATATCAGCATTGTTAAAAATATCATTATTACCAAATAGTTCTTTAATTATAATTAATGTTTTTAACCCATGAACAGTTCAGATGTTAAATACAAAATACTAAAATGAAATTTAATAGCTAAAAAATCCACTAATATGAGAAATTAAGGAATGTTGACAGCTTTATCAGCTCATTAGATAACCCATATGTATTTTAAACATGGCTATTTTATCATATATTGAAAGGTGTCATTTAAGTGAGTGTATATTGTTGATTTAAGATTCTTTTTTTCCCTCCCAACATAATCTCCTAGGGCATCCAAGTAACAGCCACAACTCCATCAATGAGAGCTGTGAGATTTGAAACTGGATTGATAGAGCTGGAACTTTCAAACCGACTTCAAACCAAAGCCTCACCAGGAAGTAGCAGCTATCTGAAACTGTTTGGTAAATGCCAAGTGGATTTAAATCTGGCATTAGGACAAATTGTCAAACATCAGGTGAGTACAGAATTTGCTGACATTAGAATTTTGGCTTTTAATTTTGTATATCAATTTGAACTACTTTAAATATTACTATACTTTAAAAAAAATGTTTTTAATGTTCCTAAAATTTTTAATTGTAAATTGGAGTGAAGAAGCCTCATTTAAGAAGGCCTTTACAGTTTTAGTTTGGCATTTTACTTAGTATTTGGGTGTTATATTATTAGTTTATAGTTTAGTGCAAATGCAATCATGTGAAGCTTAATTCAGCATCTTCATAAATATTTGTTTATAATTTCTTTTTATTTTGTTAAGCATTATTTTTTTATTTCAGCACTCAGTACTAACATTGGCCAACTCTTAAAATGTTACTAAGTTTCTTACTATTTAATATTGGTAAGTTTTTCTTGCCATAATGTTAAACATAAAAAGTTAAATATATATGCACACACAGCAATAAATCAGATTTTATTTTATAAAAATTTAACTTTCACAGCTCATGAAGGGCTTTTTTTGTTACTGTTGTTTTATTTTGCTAGAAATTATTAAAATGTTTAGGTTTTTTTGTCGGAACATTTTCCACTACTTGATTTTATTGAGCCTTTAATTTTATTTTAGGTTTATGAGGAAGCCGGTTCTGATTTTCATCAAGTTGCGTATTTTAAAACCAGAATTGGATTAAGAAATGCCCTCCGAGAAGAAATCAGTGGTTCTTCAGATAGAGAAGCTGTGCTTATTACCTTGAATAGACCAATTGTTTATGCACAGCCTGTGGCCTTTGACAGAGGTAAGATAAAGTCCATCAACACTGTCTTGTTGGAGTTAGAAACGTTTTGGAAATGTTGGATAAGAATCATTTGTAGTTTACTGGTGTAAATACTTGACAGCTAAATGTCTCCTAAATTTGAAATGTGAGCATCCAAGAAAAGTTTGTTGTTTATACCAGCTTTTAAAGTTATTTTATTTTTTAAAGTTATTTGCCTTCTACATGGGATATATAGGATGTCTGATTCAGAATTCTGATTGTAATGCTAATAAGGTTTCCTTTCAAAAACTAATGTACCCATTTGTTTTGACACTGTCTATTCACTTATTCTGTCTGTAAACATTTCCTGTCTGGGCATGGAATACAAATAAGGAAAACAGGATCTTTGCCCTCAAGGAACTCTCAGTTCAGTGGGAAAGAGCAAAGTACACTACAGAGAGGAGTTAGAGAGATACATGTTCTAGTATCTGAGTGAGCCTCTAACTTTGCCTGTTCTTCTTAGAGGGGAAACTAATTCTTCAGATTCGACTTGGAGTTAGGAGTTCACTAGGAAGACAACGAAATGACAGCTTGTCTTATTTATCTTTGTATCTGAAGTTTTAGAACAGTCCCTGGCTTATAGTAAGAACTACATAAATGTTTACCAAATGAGAGAGAATATGAATGAATATATATGAACACAGAGGTCTAAAAACTATAGCAGTTTTCATAAAAGAAAATAATAGGAAATAAGGCTGAACAGATAGATACAATCTCATTACTGTATATTGGGCAAATATGTTGGAATTGTAATTTAGAAGTAATGAAGAACCATTTATGATGCCATTTAAGATTTAAATTGATGTAGGCATTGGCTGGTGATAAGTCTGTTAGAAAACTGTTCTTTTGGCAGTGTTATGGATAACATTTTATTTTGTTAAATTCTGTGCACTTACTTTTCATTTCACATCTTACCTTTCATCAGCTTTCAACAATTCCTTAAAGTACTTTGCATTCTTTGTGTCCAGGATACTTGCTTTTCTTTCTACTTCTCTGGCTCCTTCATGTTTACCTCCTCTTTAGGCTTCTCCCTCTATACACAGCATTAAATGGAGGTTTTCCTTAAGGTTTCATTCTTATTACAGACTCAGATGTCTTGACTTTTGTAGGTCACATCTTTTTAATGTATACTCCTACTGTTATGTACCTCTCCTTCAGGAATTTTTAACAGTTGTAACAGTAAAGTCTACAAAGTTGGGGACCATGTTTTGTTTTCATTTGTTATTGCATCCTGTTGCATAGCATCTAATTGGCATTTCACAAATAATTTATTACATGAACAAATGGACCTGGATTATTTTCTTTTTTCTGCCATTATGCATTTGCCTACTTTCTGCTTTTTTTTTTTTTTTTTCCTCTGTCAAATTGACCGTATCATCTTAGATCCTTTCTAATTCTAACGCTGTATTTTTTGGTGGGAATAATTTTTAGTAATAAGCCAGATTTTGTAGCTATTGAGGTTTACTTGCCTTACAGCTTTACAGCTTTCATTTAAATTTTCTTTCCTCCCTGCCTTAATTATAAAAAGCTGTGCTGTTTTGGCTGAATTATAAGGCTGCCTATGACAACTGGAATGAACAACGAATGGCTTTACATAAAGATATCCATATGGCTACAAAGGAAGTAGTAGATATGCTACCAGGTATCCAGCAAACATCAGCCCAGGCCTTTGGGACTCTCTTCCTCCAGCTTACTGTGAATGATCTGGGAATATGTCTGCCCATCACAAATACTGCGCAGGTACAGAAAATCAAATCATAGTCTAAGATTAAGAGGGAAACATTCTACTAACCATTTCTATGTATATAGAGTATAACAATTTTTTCAGGTTAACAATTTATAACTTGGGTTTAGTAAATAGCAAGTAAAATTGAATTCCTTCAGCCATTATTCATCCATAGTGTATTAAATATGTATCTCATGAGACTTTGCTCTGAAGCGCTCTTCATCAGAATTATGATGAGATTGATACCCATCTAATAAGCCTTAATTTTTACATTGGAAATAAACAGCTTAGTGTTCAGAATCTTATTGTTTTGTTTTTTAGCAAATAAGTCTTTGGGATGCACTTGTTAATAAAATAGAAGTAAAAGAACATTTAAGAATACTGTGTAATAGGGTTTAGTAACCTCATCTAAATTAGAGTAGGGGATTTCAAAATCCCCTAAGCTGAAATAGTTGGTAATGAAACTTCCAAAGTATGTGTGTTGGATAAAGCAAGAGTTTTCATAATTTAGGACTAATTCTTAGGAGTACATATTTGCGTGGACACGTGTATGAGACAAAAAAGGGCTATAAACCCCTATCAGGCTTAAGAAGTTAAAATTAGAACAAATACAGAGGTCTATTTTACTGTTAAAATTTACTGTAAATAACCTGTAACCTGTTGTCAAATGGGTTTATCTTTTAGTATTTTGTTTGGCAACACACTGTGAAGAAAAGTCCTGGGTTGAGGATTGGCAACATATATTTATGCCTCAGGAGTTGAAAAATGGTAGTTTTTTAATGGCATGATGGACAGAACTCAGGAAAGCCATACACACCGAAGGTGGTTGTCATAATGAGAATGTTCCCCACAACTAAATCAGAAGCTTGAGATAGAAAACTAGATAATTAACCTTTTGCGAGTTAAAAAAGAAAAAGATGCACATGGCAAATGTATTTCACTTCAGTAATTTTTAAAAGCATCTTTTTACAGTACTTTCTAATTAAGCTTTCTAGGCTTGACGTTTTCCAGACTTTTGTTCCTAGGAATTCTGTGAGAATTTCCAAATTTAAAAAAGTGTTGTATTTTGTCTTATTTTTTCTTCAATATATTTTGCAGTCTAATCACACTGGAGACCTTGACATTGGTTCTGCTTTAGTATTGACCATTGAAAGTACTCTCATCACTGCTTGTTCTTCAGAATCTCTGGTTAGTAAAGGGCATTTCAAAAACTTTTGTATTCGTTTTGCTGATGGCTTTGAGACGTCGTGGGATGACTGGAAACCAGAAATTCGTGGCGATCTAGTGATGAATGCCTGTGAGTGACTTATTTTCTGTATGATGTTTAGAATTTGTTTAAATTGAAAAAAAAAACAAAAAACAGAAATAGTGTCTTTATTTGTAAGACCAAAGGATGCTCAGCTATAGGAATGTTATTGGACTTTGTGAAATAAGAGCTATTTCTAGTTAAATGTTCATATTTGTGAAAAATGTCAGGTTTCAGTAGTTTGGGTAAGTAAACCAGTTAGGCATTCTGCTTAATAGTATAACAGTTGAAGATTTGTTTACTACCTGATTTTTTCCTGTAGTTGATTCATGAATGACCAGATAAAGCATCTTTGTTCCGTGGGGATCTTGAAAGAAAGTGATAAATGTGTAAGAACTAGTTCATCATATAACATAGAACAGGTTGTAGATAACCAGGAACAGGAACTCCAGCCACAAAATATTGACGTTAATAAATCCACGTGTCTAAATTTGTAAGCTACAGAGTATAACTTGTGTGAATTCTTCCAATTCCATAATACTGGAGGTTGGGAGTAACTAAAGCTGTGTTTATATACAATTTTGAAAGTATATGGGTTTATTTTTATTTTAATATATTAAATATTATAGCAGAGTTAACAAATCACCATTAATATTATAATAAAGAAAAAACTGCATTTGAGGAATTAAAGGTTGTGAACTAAAATTCCTCAGCCAGTCTCAAAGCCAAAATTAATACTTACTCTACCAAAGGTAGCATGTGGTTGTTTATGCAGTTCTTTTGCCCTCTCCACTGGAAGAAAATCTTTCCAGTTCTGGGTTTTCTCTAAAGAACAAGAATATTCTTCATTATTTTTATATCAAAAATTGAAGTTTTGACATTCCATGTTGATTAAAACTTAGATAAAACTATAGGTGAAATTCTCGGTATTGTATGCTTCTCATTTAGGTAATTCATATAAAATACTGCGATTTCTCTGAAATACTTCAGGTTACTAAGAAGCCTTGATATCAAAGTACTTATGCCCAATATTCAAAAGACCAAAAATAGCCTGGATCAGAAATCTTTACAAATAATATTTTACACAGTTGTTATATTTATTTTTAAAAATCACTGTAACTCCAGACGCCTGGGTGGCTCAGTCAGCTGAGTATCTGACTCTTGATTTAGGTTCTGATCATGATCTCACAGTTTATGAGATCGAGCCCCATGTTGGGCTCTGAGCTGACAGCCTGGACCCTGCTTGGGATTCTCTCCCTGTTCCTCTTTCTCTCAAAATAAAAATATTAAAAACTTTTAAAAATCACTATAATTCTTGTCTATTTTTTTCTTAAAATAAATTTAAATCTACTGGTTTGTATTAAGATGACATCTTTGCCATTATTATTTTTTTTTATTTAAAAAAAATTTTTTTTAATGTTTATTTTTGAGAGAGAGAGAGAGACCAAACATGAGCCGGGGAGGGGCAGAGAGAGAGGGAGACACAGAATCTGAAGCAGGCTCCAGGCTCTGACTGAGCTGTCAGTACAGAGCCTGATTCAGGGCTCGAACCCACAAGCCGTGAGATCATGACCTGAGCTGAAGTCAGACGCTTAATCAACTGAGCCACCCAGGCGCCCCTGCCATTATTATAATCATTAAAATGGATAGAATATTTTGGAAGCAAAGGAAGAATACCTTTCTTAAACAGTTTATTATAAAAGGAAAATGCGTGAGAAATGTGCCTCTGAATCAAAATCAAAAATATATTAAAAATGCATAAATAATAACTCAGCACCTCAGTGTATATATACCAAGTAGAATACAAACATGCTGATAATTGTGATAATAATCATGGTTTATTTTAGGTTTTGTAGGATATTAAATGACTTGTTTATAACATGTTTTTGGTTTGGTGTCTTGGGAAGGAAGCAGACGAGTTGAGTGGTTGCTTCATTGATTTAAGAATTCTAAATTATAAAAGGGGCAGATTAGTTTTTGTTAGTAATAATAAATAGAATATAAACGACGTTTAATATTTTTGACAAAAAAGGGTTGAGTTAGGGTAGAGAAACAAGGAAAGGTAGAGTTATGCCTTAGGATTTTTTTTTTTTACAGATCATTTTAAAATCAGGCCCTAGGAAAAAGATGGCACAGTGGAATTGCCTCTCTAGGGTGATAATGTTTTCTAGGAATTGCAGTAAAAATTAGAAAGGACAATCTATAGGAAGAGTTCAAAGGACCATGTAAGTAGATAGAAAAGATAAGACTTTGTTCAGTAACATGTATTTATAGAAATTATAAAAACCATTAGAAGTTGAAAATGTAGCATGGAAAAAAAAAGTTTGAGAGACTTCAAGCTCTTTGATTAGAGTGATTTAGTTGATTCCCTTCTCCTCACTTTCAGCATTTGGATCTTCTCCTAAAAATCTTAATATTCCTTTTTAATTCATCATGGCTCGTAATATATGATTTTATATAATTTTCAAAACTGAATTAAAAAAAATTCTCTGATACTTCTTAGGATTAAAAATCCTAAAAGTTTTCCATCCTTTTTTTTATTTACTAGCTTTCATTTGGTCTAAATTATGTTACTCAAATTTCAGAGCGTTTTCTTTTCATTCCAGCATTCTTAGATTTGAAAGAGTTACTAAGTTTCTTTTGCTCTGTTTTATAACCATGACTATAAAGGTGAATTGGGCAATATTTTACCCTAGGACAAGATCTAGTTCTCTCATATTCTATAATTTGTATGTGAGGTACAGGTAACATACGTCTCAAACTATAGATTTTAGTTATTGGCATCATGTTAAAAAAAAAAAAACCACATAATAGAAATTTTCGCTTAATAAACTCTTTCTCCCAAATATGTTGTAGTATTTCTGCAACTCAGATTTGAGTAGCTCTCAAACTACCATTCCAATGATGGCACAAATTGTCAAAGCCTCTAGAAATTAGAATTTCAGGGTCAGTCTGGTACTGTCACATGCAGAGTGTAAAGATAAAGTTGCAGTTAAGTTCTCATAAGCATAAAATAAAAAATGTTGAATTATGAAATATTATGAGTCATCTAAGGTAGTCGTTTCATTCTGCAGATTAGAAACTGAAGCCTAAAGGGGCCCCTGGGTAGCTCAGTTGGTTAAGCATCCTGACTTCGACTCAGGTCATGATCTCAATGTTTGTGAGTTAGAGCCTTGCATTGGGCTCTGTGCTGACAGCTCAGAGCCTGGAACCTGCTTCGAATTGTGTCTCCCTCTGGTACTGTCTCTCAAAAAATGAAAAATGTTAAAAAAAATTTTTTTTAAATAACAAAACGAAGAAACTGAAGGCTAAAGAGGCTAGTGATTCTATTCTATTATATTTAGGTATTAATCTTTGGGCAAAACACTGCAGTATAATATTTAATCACAAGCATAATTTTATTGAAAACTATTTTGGGGGGTGGTTTTTTGTGCAGGTGTAGTTCCAGATGGCACCTATGAAGTATGTTCTAGGACTACAGGACAAGCAGCTGCTGGTAGGTTCACAATTGGTATAACTTTTTCTTTTTTCTTCTTACGTATATGAGATAGAATTCTGCGTTTTTATACATATATATACATATCTATATATGTATATTTATAGCCTTTATGTTAACAGTAAGAATTTTTTAACTAAACTAATTCTGATGTTCTCTGATTTTTTAAAACTATTTTTGTAATATAAGCATATTTTTATTTATTTAACAATTATTTATTAGACACTTGCTGTGTATAAAATAAATGGCAAAAAGTTTTGGGAAAGACAAAGATGGATAAGATATACTTTCTACTCTGTATAAATTCTGATATAGTTAAGGCTCTGCAGCATAATTAAGCCATGATAAGTGATAAGTTCAATAAAATATAAAATTCCAATTGCCACTGAAATTTGTTGAAGAGAGAGAAAAATTTCAAATTTGTAAGGATACTGGAATCAGAAAAAGCTTCTTTTAACATTTTCACAAACATGAAAAGGGACTTTACAGATAAAAATTATTTCTTAAGCAATAACTGGAAGGCATGGATTAGAAAATTCAGGCAGACAGAATATTAGTCATGCTGTGAAAACAGTGTCTAGTTAGAATTGTCCAAACTGGGTGGAACAGAATTATATGAAAAATAATATTGGAAAAAAATTAAAGGAGTCTGGACTTAATTTGGTGGACAAAGGGAGAGCCATTGAATTTTTTTTTTTCCCTTGAGCAAGAAAGCAGAACCTTTAAAGGATTAGAGAGAAAAAGTATCTTAGGAAGTAAGTTAGGAGATAACTCTAAAGTTATAACCTGTCTTGACTAAGATGATTTCACAACGTAAATTTTTATTTATTTTACTTATAACTAAGTTACGGTAAGCTAAAGGGAGATATTTATTTAAGGGATCTTAAAATGTCAGTGGGAGTAGAAGCTGATTAAAGTTAGCAGATTTCCTTTCTCTCCTTACTATTCCCCTTATCTTCCCCCAAGCCTAGCGTTGGTACTCATCCTAAGTAAATTGTCTCAGAAAGTAGTAAGGCCACTAGTCCCACTGACAGAGAACTGAAAAAGTTAAGAAATTTCCAGGAGTAATGTTAGAAGGAAAGGGTGATGACTGAGTTAAACATACTTATTTGGAGAAAGGTCACATAAAAGTCTTTTTCAAAACTCAGGTTTATAAGTGACAGCAACCCATTCAAACTAGCTTAACCAAAAGGGATTTATTAAAAGGATATATACGGATCACAATTCAACTTAGGAATGGCTATCTCAGTGAAGGTAAGGAACCAGTTCAATTCAAGGAGCCCTCAGGAACTACAGGAACCAAGATTTCAACTCCCACTAGGACTCTTCTTTGCTCCTCCCTGGCTGCTTCATTTTCTTCATACTGCTGACCTCCTCCTTACACATGGCAGGAAACACGGCTGCCAACAGCTCATGAGCCTCATCTCTCCAACCTCAATCACTAGAAAGGGACCACTAGTTTTGAAGTCTAGGGAAGGGATTTTAGTTTTCCAGCTTTGACTCTTACTTGGCCTAATTATCTAATTCTGGCTAATGAGTGAGGATTGTGGCAATTCCCACTACAACCATAGAAAGGTAGATCAGCTTGGGGGTGGGGAGAAGAAGGAATCCATAGTTCACAGGAGAAAGAAGGGTGCTGCACAGAGGAAACAAGAGATGCACACTTTGCAAAGGGAAGTCAATCCCACAGTCTGATGTTTCTGAGAGACCTAGCTGTGAGAGATGTTAGTTGTTACACAAGGCTATCATCCATTTTATTCCTTAAATATAGGATTATTTAAATGTTTATACTCAAGACTTAACAAAATGCCACTTCTTCATTTAAACAGAAAGTAGTAGTGCTGGAACATGGACGCTCAATGTATTATGGAAAATGTGTGGGATTGATGTCCACATGGATCCTAACATTGGCAAAAGGCTTAATGCTCTGGGCAATACCCTTACGACACTGACAGGAGAGGAGGACATAGATGATATTGCTGATCTCAATTCAGTGAACATAGCTGACCTGTCCGATGAGGATGAAGTTGATACTATGTCTCCCACTATCCATACTGTAAGTAAACTTACTGTTAGACTTTTCTAGACTGGCCTTTATCCTGAAATAGGGATTTGATTAACTCAATGTTATTTATTATATTGTAGTTGCTAAGTGTAAAGGAAGAGAATGGTGGTTCCATGTGTCTGCATTTTGTAATGCTGGTTTTTGCTTTTATAATAATTGTCTTTTAATTGATAGTTTTCATAATGACTGTCAACAAACTTGTGCCTTAACTTAAAGGTAATGTACTAACATTAAAAGCAAAGTGCAAGCAAACCTGTAGAGACAGAAAGTAGATTAGTGGCTGCTGAGGGCTGGGAGAGTTGGGGAGGTTTAGATGGGGAGAGAGACTGCTGTTACTTTTGAGGTTTCATTTGGGAGATGGTGAAAATGTTCTAAATAGATTATGATGATGATTGTACAACTTTGTGAATATACTAAAAACCACTGAATTGTACATTTTAAGTGGGTAAATTTTATGGCATGTGGATTATATCTCAAGAAAGATGCTAAAAAATGGATCTCAAAGCAAAGTGCATGCACACAAAATGAACTATACATTTAAAAAGATGTATTTCCGTCTATACATTTTATAGTATAAATTATTTGGTAGTTAAAAATCAAGTTACTCACTACTTTCATTCTGGTACTGACTTAAAACTTTTTAAAACAAAATATCCTTTAACTCTTGTTTCCTGAAATAGTCTTGTTCTTGGGAAGAAATTTTTTAAAAATTAATGTTACTGTTTATCATTTAGAGTTCAGATGGAAGTTCAGTAAGTGGAGATGGCCACAAGCTCACCTTTGGGCAGCGACTTGTAAATCACCTGCTAGGCCTGACGCCCCCAAATCAGCGCTATTCTGTTCCTGCAGAGTATCTGTGTGACCCAGAGATGTGGGGCTCCCCTCAGTCTAGCCAGTCCCATTTGAAAGCATGCAGAGCTCACTCATGGGGAAACGTAGGTAGCCACTAAATAGATTCCTTGTGAAAATGAAGGGATTTGAATCACTGGAGAATTCTAATCATCGTACTTGATATAGATGGCTTTGATTCTTGCATGCTTCCTTTGATTTAAGGTGTCATTTTTGTGATACTATAGATTAGCTATGTGACCTGAGGGTGGTATTGACAGACATGCTTTTGATTTTTCAGGAAGCTGTAGATTATCGAAGACCAGGAGCATCATGCAGCCAGCCAGGAGAACTTAGAGGAAGAAAAATCATGAAGCGTATAGTGGATATCAGAGAACTGAATGAACAGGCCAAAGTAATAGATGATCTTAAGTATGTGTATGATTTTTAATGTAACAGAATATTTTTAATAGTAGAATCATAGAATATTCAGTGTGGAAAAGACTGGACTTGGGGCAGTACAACCCCTTTAATTTATAAATGAGATCACCAAGGTCCAGAAGAGTTTGGTAACTTGCATGAGACCATACATTAATTAGTGATGAAGTTAAGCGTGAAGTCCTAGTCTGGCGCTCATCACAACTCCCCATTTCTGGGCAGTTTATGACTGACTTTATATTCCATATATGTATCTCTACATGTGTATACACACTTATACATATTTTCACATGTGCATATTAACATATGCACTAGTCTTTTGCTAACGTTGGTATTTCTGGAATATAAATTTTTAAGGGAGGAAACAAATTTAGCATTTATTAAGTACCTATTGTGAATCTGACATGTTATTTCAATGTAATCCTCACAGGATTTCTGTGTGGCTAGATGGCATTATCCAAACTTTATAGGTGAGAAAACTGGCTCAGAGAGTTTAAAGAATTGAAATTTGAACTCGGTGTGTCTGAATTCAAAGTTCATGCTTTTTTTTTTTTTTCCTGCCTGCCTGTACTAGCGGTTCTCTAGAACTAGGGTGAATATAGGGTGAATAGAGAGAGAGGAGTAGGTGGTGGTAATTTTTTTTCTTTATTAGTTGCCTGATACATAGTACTGAGTAAATAACTTGCTCTAGAAGACTAAATATCCTGCCTATCAAACTGACATTTTTGTTTTCCCAGGAGGTGATATTCATGCTTTATCTTTTCTAATCTTCATACACCTATGCCTGTGTTTTTTGCATTTGAGGACTTTAAACAAATATATGCATTTAGACAAATAAATGCATCAGACAAAATGCATATATTTGTCTCATATTGTTTAGGTATTACCTAAAAACTATTCATTGAATTAATTATGATATAATGATTCACATTTTCCTGTTGACTTACATTACAGTTTGAGTTTTGCTCTTAGGGGTTAAAAATGACTTGAAGGAAAGTATACTTCCCTAAAATCTTACTTGAGGCTTAAATACATGTAGAATTTTACATACATTCTTCTGTAGAGTGGGTCCATTGCTTTCATGAGATTATCAAAGATTCTCTTAATGCAGAAGTCGGAAAGAGCCATTTCCTAAAATGTTAGAGTTTTTTTTTATTAACTTTATGGAGGGTTTTGGTCTGTCCATATATAATCTTCGATATTCTGAGAAGTGAAAGAATTAAAAAGGAGCAAGTAAAAATCAATCTTACTTTGCTACTACTTTACACTAATTGCAGTATTTGTTTTGCATCCAGAAAATTAGGTGCAAGTGAAGGAACCATAAACCAGGAAATTCAGCGTTATCAACAATTAGAATCTGTTGCTGTGAACGATATTCGAAGAGACGTTCGTAAAAAATTACGGAGGTCTAGTATGCGAGTGAGTAAACATTTAAGAAGAATTTTATTATTAAAGTAGACCATTCTTTTATTTTTTAGTTTATGAAACTTTGTGAGGATACTTATATTCTCTTTCTTCCTCCATTGCTAGTGATAATACCATTTGATTTGTATGTCTCATATCTACTATGTACTAGACGCTATTTAAAGCACTTTATATTTAACAACCCACTAAATCTGTACAACAGCTGTATGAGGTAGCCTGTATTATTTTCCTCATTTTAAAAATGAGGAAACAGGCAGAGGTCAGGTAATTTGACCAAGGTTATACGGCCATTAATCTCAGTGGAGCCAAGATTTAAACCCAAATAGTGGGACTCTACATTCTGTGTCCTTAGCCACCACGTTTTGTCCACCTTTCATGAAATCATACTTTCTTTTTAGTCTTCAACTCAAATGTTAGTCTTTTGAGATGTCCATTTTATTCCTGTCCCATTTTCTGCAGCTGACTTTATCTCTAAGCCACTATACTCGCGGCACTTCATTCTTTTCCCTTCGTTCATTTAGTTGTCCGTACTAGAATCCGAGTCTCTTAAAGAACAAGTTATTTACCTTTGACCCCACTTCCCACCACATTTTTTGGGATTTAGTCCAGTTGCTGAACAAGTAAAATAAATATGTAGATAGATGTACTATAAACATACGTAGAAAATAATTCTAAAATGTATTCAAATAGAGGTAAGTTGCTTTGGGTTAAGGTGGTCTTGTTAGTGGAAAAAGTACTTTAAAAAAAATAGATTTTTAACCTTTCTTTTTTTAATAATCAGCAGAACCCTCTATTTTTTTTTTTTTTTTTTTTTACCAGCATAAGGTTTTTGGGTCACACCCCAGTACATAAAAAACATTAAGTCAAAGTTGCTAGGGCCAGAGGAAGTGGAGAAAGGTTGTAGAGATCCAGGGTTCATTGACTTGAACTTTATTTCCTTGATCATCCCAAACTCCCAGACACCCTAGTTTGAATACTGTTATAAATTATTTATTTAAACTGAAAATAAAATCCAATCTGAGTTATTCATCACTGGCTTCTCATAATAATAAATGGATAGTTATGACTTCTAATGCATAAATCTGTGTTTAAAATTTTTCCTACCATATACTTAACAATCATATAATAGAATTAAAATATTGTTTTCATACTGTTTATGAGGTAGTTTATACTTGGTAATTGTTGATAAAACTAGGTAGAGAGGATTAGGGAAATTACCAAAATTGTATCAGCATTCTTAACATTTACCTCATTTGTCATTTCCCCCTCAATTCCCCTTCAGTCCTCTTGCATTCCACATTTCCATTGTATTTGAGTCTTTTCAATATCTAGTTCCCAACTAGATACAGATTTGGAGAAGAGGGATTTGGAAACCAGTAGAGTGTTGAAGTCACCCTTTCCTTTCCTTTTTCCTTCCCTTCCTTTCCCTTCCCTTCCCTTCCCCTTCCCCTTCCCCTTCCCCTTCCCCTTCCCCTTCCCCTTTCCCTTTCCCTTTCCCTTTCCCTTCTCCCTCCCTTCTCCCTCCCTTCTCCCTCCCTTCTCCCTTCTCCCCTTTCCTTTCCTATCCTATCCTATCCTATAATGGAGTTCTGTCACAGGAGTGCCTTTGGGTAGTACTTGAGATGATTGATGGCCCTCAAACCCAGCCTCTCCCTCTCTCCCTCCTGCTTTCCCTTAATCTCTCTTTCTCTTCCACCCCCAACCTAGCTTTCTCCCAGAATCTGTCTTTTTAATTCTCATTTTCTTTTGCTGTTCTTTACTTTTTAATCGTTTCCTTTCTTCTCACCTTATTTCTGTACCCCTCACCCCTGCTCCCAATCTTTCTCTTTTCTCTTGCAGGCCAGCTGGTGACTCATATTTTCATTGTACACTCCTTCTAAATAACATTAGGTCCTGCTCTACTTTGATCCACCTATACTGTTAAGTGACATTTAAAGTCAAATTTAAAGTAACACGTTATCAGGGCGCCTCAGTGGCTCAAGTTGGTTGAGCATCCGACTCCAGGTCATGATCTCACTGTTGGGAGATCAAACCCCACATCCAGCCTCACATGGGCTGTGCTGGGTCCGGACCCTGCTTAAGATTCTCCCTCTCCCTAGGCCCCTCCCCTGCTCATGTGCATGTGTACTCTCTCTACCTCTCTCTCACTCTCTAATAAAAAATAAAAATAAAGTGACATGTTATTGACCTGGGGGAAAAACAGACTAATTTGTTGAATAGAATAATATTTTATCTGTAGTCAGATATTACAACACCATCAGTTGTTTAAAGTCACTCTTCTCCCATTTCATTAGGCTGCTTCCCTAAAGGATAAATGGGGTTTGGGTTACAAACCAAGTTACAGCCGTTCAAAAAGCATTTCTGCTTCTGGAAGACCACCTCTTAAACGAATGGAAAGGGCAAGGTAATATATATTTCAACCATTGAAACAAATAATAAAATTTCTGACTCCTTTACAAATGTCCACTACTTATTTATTGTGTTCTAATTGGGGAAATTACATAATTAAGGGAGCAGAAATAAACCTCATTAGTCAAATACTGGTAATAATGGATACTGTCAAACTAAAAAGTTTGAAGAATTCCTCTATCATATTTATACCACAATCATTGTGTGCTTTTCAGTAAAGAAGTACATTGCTATTTAGACAAGTTTATATGTAAACTTATAGACTACTCAAAGAAATGAGTATTTGCATATTATTAGCTGCTGCTATAAGTTTGTCACTTTTAGATAAGGTGTGATTACATACACATTTAGCATAGGAAGAAATGGAAATTTTACATATTAAAGAAAAATACTGTCTTACTAATAAATGAGCACTTGAAGTAAGAAGTATAAATTTTTACATGGTTTAGTTTCAGAAAATCTCATGTTAATCAAAACCTTCAGTGCTTTTTTAATAGTATGCTACATGTTAAGAAATGGAATACCAAAAATTTAACCCTTGGATAAGGTAAATATTTAGAAATCTTTAGAATGTTAATGTCATTTGTGAGACTTCTGTAAAGTCCAGGGGCTTTTTTAAAACAATACTAATGTTTTGTAATTTTATATTTTCCTTACAGTTCTCGAATAGGAGAAACTGAGGAGCTCCCTGAAATCCGTGTAGATGCAGCATCTCCTGGACCCAGAGTAACTTTCAATATCCAAGATACAGTAAGAGAGATACTATTGGTTCAAGATACACAGTGCAAAATAATTTTTATTAATTACAAAATTATAGTAGTTACACAATTTCAAAATACTAATTCCTATCTACAATGAAAGTGTGGATTGTGATGATTAAAGTATCTAAAAATTACCAAACAGCAGGACACTGCCTCTGTGCCATCATTTGAGAGCCATGCTGCAAGTGTTGTATGTCTGACATCATTAGTTGTATGTCCTAGTGCATGTCTAGCATTTTGCACCAAGAATAAAGACTCTACTGCTTGTTCTTAGGTAGAAAGATTTTGTTGAGTAATTTTCCTTTCAAGTATGAATCCGCATTAGGTCTTTTACACAAGTGTAAGTGCAGAATGTTTATACTTTATGTATTTATGTATTTTATTATGTATTTTGGTTCAGAATATATAGTGATAATGGCAGAAACCAGAAGTCAGAAAAGGTCAGCTTAAAAGTTACATTTAATTTTATGTATGTTAAACTTTATGTTAACTTTATGTTTGTTTTTGAAGATTTGTTTACTATTAAACCATTGTTTATTTTTCACGAGTTTTTATATATGTTCTTATTATTTTAATTAAGTTGAAAAAAACAATATGGGGAAGTACACCACAATCCAGCTCTCCTGGGGAAGGGTATTTTCAGGTACTTATTAAGAACAACATAAATTTTGCTTTAAAACTAATTAACCACCCTCAAATCTGCTTTCACATTGTCTTTCTCTCATTTTGTACTAAACTCAGGCCTCAAAAATACTTTACATAAAGCTTTAAGATTGTTTGAATTCTTTTTCACCATGTATGTCTTACAAGCTCTTGCACAAATACATTTTATTTCTATACTTTATACAGTATTATTGAATCTCCAAAATTAAAGACTAAATCAGCTTACCAAATTGACCAAATCATAAATCAAAAACTGCTATTTATTAGTTATTTGCTAATCCCTAAGTGCATCTCTTTTCCCTGCATTCAACTACAAAATGAATCTTTTCTTTTTTTTTAATTTTTTTTTTTTTCAACGTTTTATTTATTTTTGGGACAGAGACAGAGCATGAACGGGGGAGGAGCAGAGAGAGAGGGAGACACAGAATCGGAAACAGGCTCCAGGCTCTGAGCCATCAGCCCAGAGCCCAACGCGGGGCTTGAACTCACGGATCGCGAGATCGCGACCTGGCTGAAGTCGGATGCTTAACCGACTGCGCCACCCAGGCGCCCCAAAATGAATCTTTTCTTTAAAGAAATTTTGTTAACTAATTGAAACTAGAATTAAACTTCTCTCAGAACAACAAATTAATCCTTGAATGTTATTTCTTTGGAGTCACTGGTATAAAAAAGCATACATGTATAAAAGCAATCCATTTAAAAAATACTCTCATGTTTGGGGCGCCTGGGTGGCTCAATTGGTTAAGCATCCAACTCTTGATTTCGGCTCAGGTCATGATCTCATGGCTTGTGAGATCAAGCACTGTGTCAGGCTCTGCACTGACAGCATGGAGCCTGCTTGGGATTCTCTTTCTGTCTGTCTGTCTGTCTCTCTCCCCCTCTCTCTCTCTCTCCCCCCCTCTCTCTCTCCCCCCCTCTCTCTCTCTCTTCCCCTCTCTCCCTCTCTCCCTCTCTCCTTCTCTCCCTCTCTCCTTCTTTTCCTCTGTCCTTCTGCCCCTCTTTCCTTCTCTCCCTCTCTCCCTCTCCATCTCCCTCTCTCCCCTCCACACTCTTCTCTCTCAAAATAAACATTTAAAAATACAATTAAAAATTAGTCTCATGTACAAAACTGTGGAAAATGTGCTACACAATAATTCATAAGTTGAATTAACATTTTTATGAACCATATATTTTCCCTAAATATGTCATGAAAGTAAACTGAATTTTAAAAATATATCTGTAGGGGTGCCTGGGTGGCTCACTCAGTTGAGTGTCCAACTTCAGCTCAGGTCGTGATCTGACAGTTCATGGGTTCAAGCCCCATATCAGGTTCTCTGCTGTCAGCACAGAGCCCAGTTCAGATCCTCTGTTCCCCCTTCTCTCTGCCCCTTCTCTGCTTCTGCTCTCTCTCTCAAAAATAAATAAATATTAAAAAAATAATTTATAAAAATATAGCTGTATACTAGGTATATAAATCCTTGTCTAAGAATTTTCTGTCAAGTTACCTTAATTTGACATGTATTTTGTTTCCCTTTTCCCACCCTTTTAAGCTATAGTCTCAGTATATATCCTATAGTTACACTGATATAGTCAAACTGAATTTTGTTTTAGAACTATTAGATTATAGTGAGCTTGATAAACATTTTTTTTCTACAAATGAACTTGGAAGTAAGTTATTTACAGAATTGAACTGAGTGATTCTACTAATTGATTTTTCCCCATCTAACTTTCTTTTTTTAGTTGAAATATAATTGACATGTAACATTAGTATCAGACATACAACTAATGATTTGATACATGTTTATATTGTGAAATGATTAAGTGGTTCTTAAGGGCATTAATATTTGAATTGGTTCAAATCCTATTTTTAAATAGTAATGTATGCTATTTGTAAAAAGTAGTATATAAAAATCATAAATTACAAAATAGATTAAGGCACGGCTAAATATAAAATAAATATAAGACAAAGGGATATTTACACAAACTCATACTACACTTTTAAAAATTGAATATGTTCTGATAAATAAAACCTGTCTTACATATTTACTAAATAACATGTATATTATAAAAAGTGAGGAAGAGCTGGACTCTGCATTTATGAAATTTTGATTATAATAGTCTATTTTTATGTATCTAATTTTGTTGTATCTAATAGTAGAATCAATAGATTTCATTCCTTTGCACGTTACACTTTACAAAGGCTTTTCACATTTTCAAGGGATATTTAAGCAACTCTCAAAACAGGGAATACAAATTAGATCATAGGAAGTTTTTTTGTTGTTTTTTTTTTGTTTTTATTTTTTTTGACCTTAAAAGACAGTGGCCTCCTGGTGCAATCCTCAGTGACACAGTGTTTATAATAAACTATTCATCTTAAAAAATAATATTCTTGAGTTTGATATCTTTAATTACATAACTATTTGCACATCTGTCTTTAATCAATTAGGAACTTGTTTCTTCAGCTCAGGTCATGATCTCACAGTTTGTGGGTTCGAGCCCCACATCTGGCTCTGTGCTGACAACTTGGAGCCTGGAGCCTGCTTTGGATTCTGTGTCTCCCCCTCTCTCTGCCCCTTCCCTGCTCACACTCTGTCTCTGTCTCTCTCAAAAAAAAAAAAAAAAAAAATTAAAAAATAAGTAAATAAAATACACCTACAAAAAGTGGGGGCACATGGGTGGCTCAGTTGGTTAAGTGTCCAACTTCAGCTCAGGTCATGATCTCATGGTTCATGGGTTCAAGCCCTGCATTGGGCTCTCTGCTGTCACCAAAGAGCCCACTTCAGATCCTCTGTGCCCCTGTCTCTCTGCCCCTCCCCAACTCACACTTTTTCTCTCTCTCTCAAAAATAAATAAACTTTAAAAAAATATATCCACGTAAGAGACTCTTAAATACAAAGAACAAACTGAGGGTTGATGGGGGTGGGTTAAATGGGTGATGAGCATTAAGGAAGGGCACTCTTTGGGATGAGCACTGGGTATCATATATAAGAGATGAGTCATGGGGTTCTACTCCTGAAGCCAAGATTACACTGTATATTAACTAACTTGAGAATAAAAAAATAATAAAATAAAAAGTAAAAAAAAAAATTGCTTTAATGCAAAAAAGTATATATCTACAAAAAGCATCTAGAAGCATGAGGTACTTTCTGTACTGACACTGCATGCTCTTCTGTCACTAATTGCTCTCTTGCCCTTCTGATTTACAGTTGGTCACATTATTTGCTTTGTCCCCATAGCATGTTTAATTTAAACAATTACACAACATGTACTAATTAACAGGATGATAGAGGCTTCTGTAAAGTAAATTTTACTCTTTCAGTCATGTGACTTTCCTGCTTCCCTCCTTGGTGTGCTATTTCATGTTCATAAATCTGACCTTTCTTTCAGTTCAGAGTGAGGAAATTCAAGTCTGAGGGAATTTTAAATGTTTAAACATGTTCTTTCTCTTTCTCTTTTTTTAATTAAGAAAAGATATATAAAATGAACCTGATTTCATGTTTTCTCTTTTTACAATCAGTTTCCAGAGGAGACAGAACTGGACCTTTTGTCAGTAACCATTGAAGGTCCCTCCCATTACTCATCAAACAGTGAAGGATCATATTCTGTGTTCAGCTCTTCCAAAACTCCAGGAGGCTTTTCAACAGGCATTCCTTTCCAACCTGAAGAGGGCCGACGGGATGACAGTTTGTCTTCCACTAGTGAAGATTCTGAGAAGGATGAAAAGGATGAAGATCATGAGAGGGAAAGGTTTTATATTTACAGGAAACCCTCGTAAGTAGCCTTTTTGTTTTGAGATGCTTAGGCAGTATTTCAGAGTTTAGAACTGATCTTTAAAGCATTATGTGTAACTATTAACTTTTATAGAAAAAAATCTTAATTTGCCTAGCCAGAGTGAGACTAAGAGACATATCTGTGGCTTACTAATGTAATTTAGCTCCATATGGCATTATTTTTTCTTTCCCTATTCTTCAGTCTTTTAATAAAATCAGGAAAGTAACATTTTACAATTTGCAAATACGAAATCTCCTTGAAAATGTAGACTATATTTCATACACCAATATTTAGACACCTTAATAGCAGTGATGCTGTCTGTGTCATCAGCACCTAGCATGTTGCTCAGCACATGATAGTTACTGAGTGCGTGGTTGCTGAATAAAATGTGACTCCATCAAACTTAGGAAAATCTTCAATAGTATGAACTAGTTGAGTTGTATGTATGAATTTATAAAATAGTAAAATTTATTTACAGACTGTTGCTCACGTAAGATATTGGAAAATAGTTTGTTGAAAATTTTTTCGATTTAATACAGTGTAATGATCAGTTTTCTTTCTCTAGACATACATCTCGTAAAAAAGCAACAGGTTTTGCTGCTGTTCATCAACTATTTACAGAACGCTGGCCCACGGCTCCAGTCAACCGAAGTCTTAGTGGCACAGCTACAGAGAGAAATATTGACTTTGAACTTGATATACGTGTTGAAATTGATAGTGGAAAATGTGTGCTACACCCAACTACCCTTCTACAAGAACATGACGATATAAGTTTGAGAAGGTAAGAGATTGGTCAGAAAAGGGTACATGTAATTTCATTTGTTAGAAATACTATTTCTATATCACTGAATTACAACAGACTTTCCACCCATGTCCCAAAATGTAGATTTAAAGAGTGGATTTAATCACACCTGCAAAGTTTGAGTGGTTATTTGTATAATATACTATTTCTTTAAACAAGTGTATAAAATTTTCTGGCAACTGGAAATGGATGTCAGATTTAGATCCTAGCAATTTAACTAGAAGAATTGTATCTTTGGAATTCTCCTTGTATCGTGCACATTTCTATTATAAAGACAAGTGCAGTACACTGAGATATCTTGGTTATTCAGAATTTTGATGAATTCAAATAGAGATAAAGATTGGGAAACAGTGGCACAGAGGCCTCAGTATACTGGACTGTCGTTTAGGATATAACTGCAGCTTTACCATTTGTTTCCATCATTAAAAAAATGGTGGTATAAATAGGCTTAAGATTAGATTATTTTTTCTTGAATTTTTTCCTTTGCTTTTCTTTGACCTAATCTAAAAAAGAGCTAAAGAGGCACGCACCTGGCTGGCTCAGTCAGTTGAACATCCAGCTCTTGACTTTGGCTCAGGTCATGATCTCAAGAGTCGTGAAATCAAGCCCCATGTCGGGCTCTGCACTGAACATGGAGCCTGCTTAACATTCTCTCTTTCTCGCCCTCTGCCCCTCTCCCCTGCTTGTACTCTCTCTCACTCTCTCTCTTTCTTAAAAAATAAATAAATAAAAGCTGAAGAAAATAACAATTGAAGGGATGGGGAGGAGGTAGAAATGTAGATTTTTAAAAAGGGCAGAATGCTGACAGTTGTTGAAGCTGGAGCCTTAGGGGTTCACTGTACCATTCTGTTTACTTTTTGAATTTTTCATAATAAAAGATTTTTAGGGGCACCCGGCTGGCTCAGTCATTAGGCCATGCAACTCTTGATCTTGGCATTGTGAATTTGAGCCCCACATTGGGTGTAGAGATTACGTTAAAAAAAAATTTTTTTTTAATGGTCTCTTTGTCTAAGGAGGGTTTTATAAAATGAATAAAATGAGAAGATGAAAAGGCACTTATACAATTGAATTTCTACAAATGTAGTAGTAATGATAAGAATGTTAATTTGTTATAATAAATTGCCGATATTCAGCTGTTTTTACCTACGTAAAGGGCAATTTCATTTGCCTCAGCCTGCTATGTTCACGTGAAACAATTGCGGCCTCAGGAAAGAATAAAGATAACTCCCCTATGCAGTTATGGAAAATACAACATAAACATCATCCATGCAAGGCATTAACCAGTTTAGCTAGAGACGCTAATAAGCTTTACTTTTTCAACTTTATTAATGAAGGATTACATTCCACTTACTGTATAAATAAAAGTTTGATTTTAAACAAAAGGAGATAAATGTCCTTTTTAAAAAAGATAAAACATTTTTCTGTTTATAGGAGTTATGATAGAAGTTCCAGGAGCTTAGATCAAGATTCTCCTTCAAAAAAGAAGAAGTTTCAAACTAATTATGCTTCTACTACCCATTTAATGACTGGCAAGAAAGTGCCATCATCTCTACAGACAAAACCTAGTGACTTAGAAACAACAGTATTTTACATTCCTGGAGTTGATGTAAAGGTAAAAACCTAAAAGTCTAGGTTGTATTATATGCATCATTAATAATCTTTATATTCTAATATTAATATATCACTTATTAATGTTAATTATATTAATATTAATATGTAATTTCTATCCGTCTAGGGTTAGCTTATTCTTAGTGGTGTTCATTTTCTATCATACACATTCTTCCTTTACCGAGTATATTAACATGAAACTTTTCATTTTTCTCTGATGCAGCTATATTCTGAACATAAGAACATCTAAATTATAGGTTGCCACTTCTTTTATATAGCTTTTCCATTAAATTTTGGCAGTAAAAAGTTACTTTTTTATACAATGAATATTGTATAAACCTTTGCTGAACCTTTCCAAGTCCAACTTAATTAAACATCTATTTTTTAGATTCTAGAATTATAGAATGCTGTAACATTAAGCTAGAAAAGAATTTATTATCTGGGATGACTTTTTAAATTTTAAATGAAAAAGAGTTAAGAATCTTACTAGCATCACAACATTTACTTGTAAAATGGGTCTTCTTACTGCTGGATTGGTGTTCTTCCTCATTTTTATACATTTGTTGGTTTTCTTCATCTGGATTATTTTAATTTTGAAAGTTTATCTGTCTTCATACAGTTGCATTACAATTCCAAGACACTAAAGACTGACTCACCTAATGCCTCCAGAGGATCTTCCTTGCCAAGAACGCTCTCTAAAGAGTCCAAGCTGTATGGTATGAAAGATAGTGCATCATCTCCTCCTTCTCCTCCTTTACCCTGCACTGTCCAGAGCAAGACTAACACCTTACTTCCTCCCCAACCCCCACCTATTCCCTCAGGTATTTCAGGAAAATATACCTTATTTTTAGTTTTTTTTTTGTAACTTTTTGGTCATCACCTCTTTGCTCTATTGAGAATTTCTTTCAAGTTTACATGTTTAAGAAAAAAGGACATAGATTTGCCAATAACGACTGTATAAAATTCATATATGGAAATGTGGCCCAACTACTTTTGGATATTTTTCAAATTGATACTACCTTAGAATATCAGTGTTAAAAAAAATTTAATATGCTAAATAGTTTAACTTTTATACACGCACATACACACACACACACACACACACACAAATGTATTTAGAAAAAATTTTCTGCAGTTAATATGTGGGAGCTTATGATTTAGATGGAAACATTAAACTTACACATTTAAGACAAAGTACATTGGTCTTAACCACATTTATTATCTATTTTTGCATAATAAATGATCCCAAATCTGGTGGCTTTTAACCTCCAACACAGTTTGTGTGGATCAGAAATTCAGCAGCAGTTTGGCCGGTAAAGTCATTTGTGACATTGCAGTCAAGGTGTTGGCTAAGTCTGCGGTCGTCAGAATGCTTGACTAGGTCTGGAAAATCTGCTTCCATCACTTCGCATTCACATGGCAGGCAAGCTGGTGCTTTAGTACCTCCCCACTTGGGCCTGTCCACTGGGCTGCTTCAGTGTTCTCATAACAAGGGAGCCAACTTCCTTCAAAAGGAGTGATCTCGAAGAGAATGTGACTGAAGATGCAATACCTTTTATGGCCTAGCCTCAGAAGTCACAAACCATCACTTCCACAATATCTTGTTGATCATACAGGTCAGCCCTATTCACTGTGGGAGAGAACTACACAAGGGCATGAATGCCAGGAGGCAAGAACCACCGGCAGCTATTTTGGAATCTGGCTATCACACCACATGAATACCTCAAATATACATTAGAATTTCCAAAACAAAAATTAAAATTAAAAAATAAAAAAAAGGAATATCAGACAAGAATTATTTGAAGATGTTTCGTTTGAGAGATGGAACGTTATACATAAATCCTTTAAAATAGCCAGTAGTCATGATAATCATATTTTTTATATCCCTTTTCAATTGACAGGGAACATCTATGCCCATTTAAGTGCAGGACAGATAATATTATTCCAATTTTATAAATGAGGAAAGCTCAGGTTCACAGAAGTTGAACTGCTTTGCTAGGTTTACAAAATTGATGTATGTTGGGGGTAGAAACCTAAGCCAAAGTTAACTAAGTCTTAGTTAGCTATTATACTCATCTACTGACACAGAATATTGTTATGTAGGAGGAAAGAGATGGCAGTCCATGTAGGGGAGCATTATAAGTATCTATAAGCTAAAAACAGAAGAACATAGGAAACCCTGAAAACATTTTTCCTCACTTACCACAAAATATCGTTAATCAACTCTCTGTATATCTTCTTAAGTGGACAAAATAATGCTAAATGAAATACTAAGCAAAGCATAAACTTGAAAAATTGAACCAAAATTTGTGACCTAGAGCAAGCAGGAGTAACTGTGGTATTATGTGCATCATTAATTATCTTTATATCCTAATATTAATATATCATTTCTATCAATCTGCTATTTTTATTGCATTCTTGTATGGTTTATGTATAAGGTGCTTCACCTGATGAAACTGTCCTGTAGTTCTAATTTCTCATAGAATTATTGTATGTTTTATGGGGACTATTAAATTCACCTCACATTTGTAAATGTTCTAGCCAAAGGAAAAGGAAGTGGAGGAGTCAAAACAGCCAAATTGTACGCTTGGGTAGCACTTCAGTCATTGCCAGAAGAAATGGTTATTAGTCCCTGCCTATTAGATTTTCTGGAAAAAGCTCTAGAAACTATCCCAATCACACCAATTGAAAGGAATTATACAAGTAAGTATTCTCCTTATACATTTACTTCTCAATCACTTATATTTTAAAAATTCTATTACTTAGAAGAATTTTTAGTGCTATTATATATTATTATATACTATATTCAGTGATCATGAATTACACAACTGAAAAAGAACTTGAGAAATCATCTAGTCCTCATTTACGAATAAAGAAATTAGGTCTTGGTGAGGTTATATGATTTTCCCATGGCCACAGCTAGTTAATGACAAAATTAACATCCTTAATTCCTACATTAGATTCTCTCTTGGACTGGAAACTTCTTGAGGGCAAATACTTAATTTTATCTGTACAGTGTTATAACAGGAACTGGAATTTGGAGAAAAAAAAGCAAGAGGTTTGAATAGGGAAAGATTTGTAGAATGATGGGCCACAGAAGCAAGTTTCTGTGTGTTCATATCCCTTATCTCAGTACTAGCATAAGAGAAAAGATGTTTTAGTAAATAGTTTGCCCTTGCCCTAATAATAAAACTAAATATTTTAACAGCTGTCAGTTCACAAGATGAAGATATGGGACATTTTGAAATACCTGATCCTATGGAAGAATCAACAACATCATTAGTATCATCTTCAACATCTGCTTACTCTTCCTTCCCTGTAGATGTTGTGGTTTATGTACGAGTTCAGGTGATATACTTTATTTATTCCTTTTTGTTTTAAAGAAAAATGTTTTTCTTAAGTTTATTTGAATATTTCCAATATTATTTTCCTTAAAGTTTCCTTAATCTTGGTTCATGGACCTTTAGTATATCTATCAGGGCCTAGAGATTGACATATGGGAAGTTTATATACAATTTTATATGTGTATTAACTTTTCTGCTGGGGAGATGCATAGATCTTTGGGCTATCAAATCTTAGATTTCACACTGTTATGGCAAAAATAAAAATGTTTACATTAAACCTCCTTTTTTACAGCATTTTATTCCTTTTTTTGTTAGGACACCTGTATTTCTTGCCATTATGGTCCTTTTTGGGCAAATATAAAGTGTAATTGAGATATAAGTCACATAATAGTACCTTTGTTAGATTTTTGCTAAGTTATGGAATTTTTATTTAGTATTTTATTATAAAATACAGTCTTATCAGTAGGCCTTTGGGAGTATATATTAGTATCTGATTGAGTCCATTTATTAAAGAGGACTTGAAAACCACTTGTAACCAAACCTCAGGATTTTTTTTTTTTTTAGTTTATTTATTTTGAGAGAGAGAGAGAGGGCAAGCAAATGGGGAGAGGGGCAGAGAGAAGGAGAGAGAGAGTCCCAAGCACATTCTGCACTGTCTGTGCAGAGTCCAGTGTGGGGCTCAAACCCACAAACCCATGAGATCCCAACCTGAGCCGAAACAAAGAGACGGATGCTTAATCGACTGACTCACCCAGGCGCCCCCAAACTTCAGGATTTAGTTAACCTTCAGTTAAAACCTGATAATCTCAAGAATAAAAGAAACTGATGGTCATCTGTTCAAACTATTTTCTACAACAGCAATTTGGCCAAACAGGCTTCAGTCTGATCTTCTGGAGTTTTGCATTAGTCTTTTGAAAATATGATGAAAACATGTAACAGGTGACAGCTAGAAAGTTTATACAACTTTTTTTTTTTTTTTTCAACGTTTATTTATTTTTGGGACAGAGAGAGACAGAGCATGAACGGGGGAGGGGCAGAGAGAGAGGGAGACACAGAATCGGAAGCAGGCTCCAGGCTCTGAGCCATCAGCCCAGAGCCTGACGCGGGGCTCGAACTCACGAACCGTGAGATCGTGACCTGGCTGAAGTCGGATGCCCAACGGACTGCGCCACCCAGGCGCCCCTATACAACTTCTGTTACTACAACAGCTTTTTAAAAATTTTAGTATAAGAGGAATTATTTCCTTTAAAAAACTTAATTATGAACAAGTATAATATGAACACAGACACCTTTAAATGTTTTGAATTACCTAGATGTCTAAATATGTATCACTCAGAGGTACCCCCTCAAATATTTAGATTTTTTTAAATACCATTTTATTAATACATTTTGGTTAATATATCATGTATCTGTTTGATAAAGGCTAGGACATTAAACACAAAATCCTTTTGTGTTTGGTATATGTGGAATGAAATGGAAATTAAATATAAATTTGGAATCCAGTATGAAATGTTTTAACTTTTCTAGTACCTAGAAACTTTTTTGGTTTTCTGTGCTTTTTAGCCCTCACAGATCAAGTTTAGCTGTTTACCAGTATCAAGAGTAGAATGCATGCTGAAGCTGCCATCCCTGGACTTGGTGTTTTCTTCCAACCGAGGAGAACTAGAGACTTTAGGGACCACATATCCCACAGAGACTTTATCCCCTGGAGGTAATACTACCCAGAGTGGAACAAAGACCTCTTCAAGCAAAACTGGAATACCAGGTATAGAAACACTCTTTATTACACTGGTGTAAAGCAGATTCTACTTTTTAAACAAACATTTTACTAGTAATTAGTATGTATTTCTAAAAAATAAATTTGGAAAAGGGGAATATTTGAGAATTAGAGTATATATGGAAAAAATACAGAGATCAAAGTTTTTTAGTCTATTTTGTACTAATATATTTAGTATATTTTGGTACAAGTGAATGACAATTGAGTAACATTTTTGATTGGCTTGGAGGTATACACTACAAGCACTATGAAATAACTGACATGTTATTATACATCTAAGTACTTCTGAATGTTTTATGTTATGCTCTATTTTTACATTTAAGAGTAATCAGTGTTGCAAATGGAAAGTAAGAGATGTAGTTATCTTGCAAGAATTTATCACAGTGAAATAAAATTGTATGAGGTAGTGTGTACACACACACACACACACACACACACACACACACACACACACACATATTTAATGGTAAATTTTGTTGCCTGACTCAAATGTCCACTTTATGAAAGGTTTTGTTTTTAAGACAGAACCTATGATTTCCTGGTGAGACAGTTACTGTTCACTAATATATTAAAGCTGTCATTTCTGCCGTAAAAATCATACATCACATATGCAAATCACAAAGATTTTATTCTTAAGAGACTACAATGAATGAAATGGATACTTATGAATAAGAGAACTATCATTAAAACAATGGTTCATAACCAGGGGTGATTTTGCCCCCAGAGGATATTTGACAATGTCAAAAGACACTGGGGAAATGGCAAAGCATTTGGTTGCTGTGTGAATCTTTGAAAGTTTCACCATAAAATAGGAAAACAAAAGTTAATATTTTAGAAATGACTTTTGCTAATGTGGTTGCCCACTGTCATACTTAGCTCCAAAATATTGCTGCTGGAATTGTGTTGCAGTCAACAAAATATTGGATTGGTAGTGTCCATTTTTGTAAACCTATTTTTTGATTATAAAATTAACTCGTTCATTATAAGAATACAGAAAACAGAAGAGTGCTAAAAATGAAAATAATAATATCCTTTTATAATAAACAACCAGTATTATCACTTCCTACTTACTTTCCAGCATTTTTATAGATAGTCTTCTTCCTAGGCAAAATTTAAATATGAACTCTTCTATGTATCTTTTAAAAACTTAAAATACAGATTTTCCCAAATTATTAAATATTCACATGTAAATAACTTTAATGATTGCATGATATTCCGTCATTTTGATCACATATTTGAGACTCCCTGGGCTTTTTGTTTTCTATTTTGTAAGTAATATTGAGATGAATATCTTTGTATATAAATTAACATCCTTAGGATAAACTCTTAAAAGTGTAACTCCTGAGTCAGAGAGAGTAGACATTTTTAAAGCGTTTGGTATGTTTTCCTCTTCTTAAATATAAAGATTTATATTTTATTTTATTAAAAAAAAATTTTTTTAATCTTTATTTTTGAGAGAGAGAGATAGAGTGCGAGCTGGGGAGGAACAGAGAGAGGGAGACACAGAATCGGAAGCAGGCTTCAGGCTCCGAGCTGTCAGCACCAAGCCCAATGCAGGGCTGAAACTCACAAACCGTGAGATCATGACCTGAGCTGAAGTCGGACGCTTAACTGACTGAACCACCCAGGCGCCCCAAGATTTATATTTTAAACATAAAAGATTTAAATATATCTTAAATATAAGATTTATGCATCCTCACCACAGTGTGTGTAGACACCAAGTTCACTGTATTCTTCCCAACATTATGCTTTAAATTTATTTTTAATCACTGGTTAATGTGATGGACTAAAAATGGGATTTTATTATGTCTTATTACTTTATTGGCTAATGAGGGAGGGGGATAAATATGCCTATGTCCATTTCTCTGTTGGAATATTCATTTTTTCATAATGACAAAATGTCACAAAGTATTGATACTTAAATTATTATAACAGTATATATGTGCTGTGCTAGGTATATGTAGTGAAAAGAATATGAAATGAGTGACTATTTGTTATGCCCACATTTTGATTCTTGAGAAAGTAAAGAAAAATGAAGTAGCATCCCTCATTTTATCATCATAAAACATGCAGGAAGGAATGATGATGAGAATAAATGTATGAGAAGTATAGGTTATGACAGTATCCATTCTTTCAGAGGGTCTTTGTTGAACTTTACTGGGGTCTGGCTAAGTGCTAGGTTGGATATATGGTAGTGAACCTCACTAGCAGATATGTCCCTGCTAATGTGGAACATAAGTTGAATTTGGAGAAACAGATAATAAGCAGACAAACATATTTTAAGTGGAAATGGGAAGTCGGCGAGTATCAATTAGCTAAGCAGAGAGTTGGGGTTATGAACACTTTAGGTAGAGAATACAAAATCCATGAGGCAAGAAAGAATTTGGCAAGTTTAAAAAATGAAAACAGAAATACAAGTGTAAGTAGAGTGTGGCAAACAAAAGGTGGACTGGCTTTTGAAAAAGATTTTAAAGAGCTAAGATACAGCCAGATCTTGTGAGGAAGCCATTGAAGAGTTAAGCAGAAAAGTACATGTGATTCTGATTTATCCCTTTAGAACACTAGAGTGGCTACAGTGTGAGAGCTGATTGGAGGAGAACAAGAGTAGAAGGAAGCAGGGAGAACAGTTGGCCATTTCAGCAGTCCAGAACTGATTATTGCTTAGCCTAGAGTAATAGTGAAATACGGGAGATGGACAGTCTTGATAAATGCCCTCAGACATAGTAATGATATGGTGATAAATTGCATGATGGGGAGTTAGAAGTGGGAAGGATGACAAATAACCCCCAGGTTTCTGGTTGAGCTGTTTGCTTGGAAATGTCACTTACTGGAGATGGGAGACCCTGGAAAAAAAACAGATTGGAGATAAAGATCAAGAGTTCAGTTTCGGACATGATAAGATTTAAATGCCTGTGACACATTCTAGTAGGATGTCAAGTAACCAGTTGCAATATGAATTCAAAGGAGGTCTATATATTTTGGAGAAACACATTTCAGAATTATCAGCAAACTCATATAATGTTCTATTCAGATGCTTTACTCATATTTTGTACATTTAAAGCGTATTTTGAATTAGCGTATCCACCCATGGTAAGTGTTGCCAGTGAGGCTTTCTCAGGGAAAAGAGACCTTTAACTTTCTGTATTTGTGTACCTTCCTCTATTTCCACTGCTTGCTACTGAAATGTGGACTCTAGTTATATGATTTGGACTTTTTACAGTTCTCCTCCCCCTTTGTTTAGCCTCAACTGTTTTGTACCTCTTCCACTGCCTGCTTCCAGTGGAACAAAGGAGAAAAGTAACAGGAAACCATGGAGTTGGCCAAAACATATGTATAAATGTTTCAAAGATGAACAGACTATTCAACCGTGGTTTATAGAATAAATTAATTGCAAAGTACATCTAAGTCTTTATTTTCATTTCAAGGATTTAAATGTATTGATCAGTTAATAATGTTTGAGTATTTCCATTTAAAAAAATTTTTTTTAACGTTTTATTTATTTTTGAGACAGAGAGAGACAGAGCATGAATGGGGGAGGGGCAGAGAGAGAGGGAGACACAGAATCGGAAGCAGGCTCCAGGCTCTGAGCCATCAGCCCAGAGCCCGATGCGGGGCTCGAACTCACGGACCGCGAGATCGTGACCTGAGCTGAAGTCGGACGCTTAACCGACTGCACCACCCAGGCGCCCCGAGTATTTCCATTTTAATTTCAAGTCTTGTTTGGTTCATAAGAATGTATTAAGTGACAGGCTTTTAAATTTTTCTGTGGCTTGTAATTTTTGCATTTCTTGTGTTCACTACAGGTTCATCAGGACTAGGCAGCCCTCTTGGCAGAAGTCGACACAGTAGTAGTCAGTCAGATCTAACCAGTTCCAGCAGTAGTTCATCTGGTTTGAGCTTCACTGCATGCATGTCTGATTTTTCCCTTTATGTATTTCATCCATATGGAGCAGGGAAACAAAAAACTGCTGTTTCTGGGCTGACTCCTGGATCAGGAGGACTAGGTATACTTAGAGTGTTTGCATCTTTTTTAATTTAAAGCAACTTTTTTTTTTTTAATGTTTATTTATTTTTGAGAGAGTGATAGACAGTGAGTGGGGGAGGGGCAGGGAGAGAGGGAGACACAGAATCTGAAGCAGGCTCTAGGCTCTGAGCTGCCAGCACAGAGCCTGACACTGGGCTCGAACCCACAAACCACAAGATCATGACCTGAGCCGAAGTCAGACGCTCAACAGACTGAGCTACCCAGCTGCACCTATAGCACCTTTTCAAGCTTGGATCTTTTCAGGAATCATAACACCTTTAATAATGCATATAAAACAAGATCAGAAAGTTTATTTTTCTTGTTGCTATCTATTCTGTCTCTACATAATAAGTAGAATATAAAATAAATAGTTTAGATGATTATACAAGAATTTTAAAACTCTGAGTATTTCATAAGTGCTATATGCAGCACAATAATCTTTTGATTTAAAAGGATATTTATGTTATTTAAATGTTTTGCCAAATCATTATTCGTATAAGAAATTGTATTATACAAATAGTAAATTTTTTAAGTGTGTGCATCACATTTGTCAATTTAAACTGAAACCCTTCTCCTCCTCCCCTTCCTCCTCCTCCCCTTCCTCCTCCTCCTCCTCCTCCTCCTCCTCCTCCTTAAATTTCACTGTCATTTTAAAGTGCAGATTTGGCATGCCTGGATGACTCAGTCGGTTAAGCTTCCGACTTCCTCAGGTCATAATCTCACAGTTGATGGGTTCAAGCCCTGCATCAGGCTCTGTGCTGTGCTGTGACAGCTCATTCTGTCTCCATCTCTGTCTGCCTCTCTCCTGCTCGCACTCTGTCTCTCTCTAAGATAAATAAACATTTAAAAAAATTGTTTAATTAAAATGAAGATTTATCACTAAAAATGTAAGAGACATTGATATTAGTGAATTTCTCTTGATTTACTTAGATAACAAAAACATATTCTCCATGTCAAGTCTTGCTTTTATTGGAGAAGGGTTGTGAAAATCATCACTATTTTTCATGGGCTTGAAACTATTAAACGACTGTCAAGAATGCTCATTAGATCATTCTTAAACTTTTACCTCACTTCAAATGATTTCAATTGACGGTATATTCCAGTATATTAGATAATTTCATATAACTAGATAGTTGTATGTATGTATGTATATGTACATGTATATTTGTGTGTGTGTGCTGTGTTTTTTTTATTTTTTAAAGGGAATGTGGATGAAGAACCCACTTCAGTCACTGGTCGAAAAGACTCACTCAGTATAAACCTTGAATTTGTAAAAGTGAGTTTGTCTCGGATAAGGCGTTCAGGAGGTGCCTCATTTTTTGAAAGTCAGTCTGTAAGCAAGTCTGCAAGCAAAATGGACACTACACTAATCAATATATCTGGTACCTAACTTTATAGTTTTTTAATTAAAATACTGTTTTTCAGAATTAAGTAAGGGCCTCCTTTTTTTTACAATGTTTAAATATTAAATATATTTAATAATATTAAGCTTTTAGTGATATAGGATTTAAAGGAGAGGAATAACAGTCCAGCCTAATGTACTATCTCAGTCTAAGTAATCAATGTTAGGAATATGCTTTCTAGATAAATGCATAGAAATACCACCCAAAGGCCAATATATGCCTAATTAAATCACTGAAAATCACTTCTTTTCTTTGCTTCTCTAACATGAATTGGTAAAATTTCTGACTTATTAGTTTAAATTAATTTTCTGATTGTAAATCCTTAAAACACTAATGAAGGATGAGGGGTAAATAATTTTTACTTGGTTTCATAAGATCATGTATGCATGTATATTGTATGCATGTATATTGCTAGCTTTGTCACTAGCTATGTACCTGTGGGCAAATCACTTGCACGTTTTCTTTATATTGTGATTTGAGTATTTAAAATTAAATGCATATGGAATATTTTGAAGAATTTGGAGTACTACGTTAATGAAAATGTTTAAAGTTAACTGCAGAAATATAGTAAGTATACTTTAACCCAATATTCATTCAACAAACATACATTGAGCCTATATTTAACAGTGAACTTGTGCAAGGCACTCTGCTCAATGATTCAGGGTACAGGCATGAATAGGCAAGGTCTTATAAGTAGAAAAATAAATGACACTGTCATGGGATTAATGCTGTAATGGAGGTTTATATAAAAAGGAGGAAAAAATAGTTTTATTTAAGAGATCAGACAATGCTTCACAAAAGAAATGATATTTGGGCCAGATTTTCAAAATTATGTAAGAAAATTCTTGGCTATAATAACATGTTATATAATGGTACAAAAGCATCAGAAAGTATGCTTTTGGATCATACTTTGGTTCACCGAAGCAAAACACAGGCGTAACTGAACATTTAACTGTTTGTATGGTTGAATGTCCAGGAGGAGAGAGGAATCGGCTAGAGGTAAAGCTGGCAAAATAGACCAGGACTAGATTGTAGGGGGCTCAGATGCCAGGCTAAAAGAACAAGGTTCTGATCCTTTGGGCAGTGAGAAGCCATTAGAAGTTTTTAAGAAAAAGGTTGACAGCATTGTGTTTAAAGATGACAGTACTGTATTATACATTTAAAAATCTGTGAAGACAGATCTCATTTTAAGTGTTCTTACTACACAAAAAAATTGTATGTGGATTATAAAATAAACATGTTTTCATTAAAAAAAAAAAGTGGGAAGATGCTTCAGATTGGTGTTTTAAAAAGAGAGTTGACAGTAGCATGAAAAATGGAAAGATGCTTGCAAAGGCTGTTGAAATAGACCAAGCAATAGGGGATAAAGCTCTGAGCCGTGACAGTAAAAAAAGAAGAGGGAATGATTTTAAGAGAACTATAAGAGAATCTACATGCTTGAGGACAAACTGTAAGGAGCGATAGAGAAGACAGGGGTGCCTCAAGCTTTTAGCTTAGGTGACAGAAGGGGCAATGGACCATCATCAACTTAGAAAGTAAAGAAGTGCCTAATAGGACATTTAGGTGGGAGAGTCTGGTAGACAACTGGCTGATTGGCTGTGTGGGTACGGACTTGGGCTGAGACAGAAATGTTAGATTTGGGAGACACTGGTGTGTAAATCCTACAGAAGCTATGCAGAGGAACAGAAGAGCACGTAAAGCAGGAGCAACAGAATGCTCAGAACAGAACCCCAAGAGGTGGCCATCAGAAGAATGCTTTCAGACTGACAAGTCTAAAAGGAAAATAGTAGTTCTTGCCACACACTGTTTAGTTTGCAACTAATTTTGAGGAAATTTGTATCCCCTGCCCATCCTGATTATTCAATTTCCATATTTGAGAAGAGCTCTATGTTAAAGTTGAAAGCTGTCAATAAGTCTGATCTTTAGAACCTCTCAGAATTTCACGATAAAGTGATGAAAGAATTTCAAGTTGCCCTCACCTCAAAAAAGGAAATGGAATAATGTAAGAATGTGCTATTTTAATCATTTGTGCAAGAACAAATATCACTTACTAATCATACCATGTAACTTATTTTGATATTTCATTAATTAGTTGTGTAACATGTCATGTTATGCTTACCATGTGAAAAGACTTTTAAAGTTTTGGAAATCTGTTCTAACAGATTTTATTTATTTCTTCATCAGCTGTCTGCGATATAGGATCTGCCTCCTTTAAATATGATATGCGTCGACTCAGTGAAATTCTGGCATTTCCAAGAGCCTGGTATAGGAGAAGTATTGCAAGACGCTTATTCCTTGGAGACCAAACTATAAATTTGCCAAGTAAGCTTGTTATGTAACTGTAATTATACTTAGGTTGCTTTTAATTACGATTACAATAATAACAAGAACCTCGGATTGATAACACAAGTTTTGTTAAGTTGTGCAACAACTTGTTAAGTTGCACCATGCAATTCATTCACCCACTGAATAAATGTCTATTGAGCGCCTCTAATGTGCTAACTAACCATTGGGGATACATTAGTACTGGAGATCACAAAAAGCTTGCCCTTTCAGAGATTACATTCAGCTGACTTATATTCTGTAATTATTCTGTAATCTTTGTAAAATCTGAAATGCAGAAATACATTTAACCATCCAAGTTAATCTGGTTAGTTAAGCATGAAAAACAAAATGTTGGCAAGTTAATCTGGTTAGTTAAGCATGAAAAACAAAATGTTGGGGACATGTTACCATATTGCCTGCATTTTTTCTCTAGGACTTACATATTGTTGTACTAGTATAGTGTGTAAGTGAAAGAGTTGGCATGATACAGTAGAAAATATTAGAAATCCAGGTCTGAGTCTATTCCCTCATCTATAAAATGGACCTGTCTTGACCTTTTCATGAGTTTCTGTAAGAATTAAATAATAACTTGCTGGAAGGTATTTTGCAAACCATAAATTACTGTACAGTTACCAAATAAAGAACTAGAAGGCATATATAATTATAAATGGTGGAGTGGTGAAATTTATTATTTTATAAGATGGAGACTCTACCCTGGTTAATTCTGTTTCTGTTTTCCACTTTCCTAATAGCATCTGGCCCAGGGACACCTGATTCCATTGAAGGGGTAAGCCAACATCTTTCTCCAGAATCATCAAGAAAAGCTTACTGCAGGACCTGGGAGCAGCCTAGTCAGTCAGCCTCCTTCACCCACATGCCTCAGTCACCTAACGTATTCAATGAACATATGACAAACAGCACCATGTCACCAGGGACAGCAGCACAGAGCCTAAAGTCCCCAGCTTCCATAAGATCAAGGAGCGTGTCTGATTCTTCAGTTCCCCGAAGAGGTAACACTGCTCTCTTTGTTGTCAGTATCCCCACCCAATGCCCCCAATATAAAAATCTTAATTCATTACTCTCAGATTTTTGCCTCAACTGTAGAAAAATATACTCTTGCAGACTTTTATGGAAGATGATTATGGTTGGGGGGTGGGGGGTGGAATACCCAAACAAAACAACAAACACTTCAAAGTATTTGCCAGCAGAAGAGGTAGGTGGATGGCTAGTAGTTTTGAGAGAGGAATGAGCATATTGTTAGTTTGCTCCACATCGTACCCTTATTCTCAGAAGTAAAACCAACTGGGGCACCTGGGTGGCTCAGTCTGTTAAGCATCCAACTTTGGCTCAAGTCTTGATCTTGCAGTTTGTGAATTCGATCCCTGCACTGACAGCGCAGATCCTGCTTAAGACTCTCACTCTTCCTCTCTCTCTGCCCCTCCTCTACTTGGATGTGCACACTCTCTCTCTAAATAAATAAGTAAACTAAAAAAAAAAAAAAAGTAATACCAACCTACAGTGTTGTTAAATATGTCTGATATTGAAAATGTTAATCTTTGGTATTTATTCATTCAGTCATTCTTTTTATTCAGCCACTGTTTCTTGAACTCTTTTATATGTTCAGCACTGTTTATGTCTTAACATATAAAAGTGATGTAGTTCATGTCACAAGCTTAGAGTATGATGAGTAAATGAAGGATTCAAGATACACACTGAGCCCACAGGAACCCAGAAGACAGGTGCCTCAGCAGGTGTCTGCATTTCAGAATAGTCCCTGCCTTCAGGTCCTCTATTTGGCAGCAGCACCTTCTGATTTTCTCCTTTGTTAAGCAAATCTGAGGGTGATGATCTGTGTTGCTGTATCCCACGCACATCTGAATTTCCTCACAGAAAATGGAGATCATACGGGACTTTATGAGCTTTCAAGAAGTAAGACTATCAGCCCTTACTGAACACTCATTCAGTAAATGGTAGCTAGTACTTTAGAGGCAATGTGGCAGATATTAAATGTTAGGTTTTAATTCAGAATACCATATTTTTATTTTGGGGATTATAGTGATAAGAGTGATAATTTTTAATTGTCCATGCATCTATGTGAATGAATATGCTTTTGATTTTTCTATTTTTAGATTCACTTTCAAAAACATCAACTCCTTTTAACAAATCAAACAAAACAGCAAGCCAACAAGGGACCCCATGGGAAACATTGGTCGTGTTTGCCATCAACTTGAAGCAATTAAATGTTCAAATGAATATGAGTAATGTAATGGGAAATACAACGTAAGCTATTCAGATAAAAGGAAAATTAATCATTAGTTGTAATTTTTCTTATATTGTAGTAAAGCAATTTAAAACCTTTTTAATACTGAAATGTTTGAGACAGTAAAGACAGTAGAAAAAAGATGTAAATTGCTTTATCCTGAAAGTGGCCTTATCAAAGATACGTAATCTAAAACAACATGGAGTATGTATTCTAAAAAGAGAAAATTATAAATAGTGTAATTTGCTAGGTAAAAAAGCTTTATCATCAATATTAATATTCAAATATTTACCACAATTTTTGTAAGAAATGTTTTGTCAAACTTTTTAAAATCCTCTAACTCCTGTTTTAATTCATGACACTGAAAGCTTAATAAACCCTTTTTCTTTTTTTTCAGGTGGACAACTAGTGGTTTGAAGAGTCAGGGCCGTCTGTCAGTAGGAAGTAACCGAGATCGAGAGATAAGCATGTCTGTTGGCCTGGGAAGATCACAGTTAGATTCTAAAGGAGGAGTAGTGGGAGGGACCATAGATGTCAATGCTTTGGAGATGGTTGGTATGTTGAAATTTTACAACTGAAAACAAGTTTTTTAAAATTGATTTTGGGGTTTCCCAGTAGGCATTTCTGTGAAAAGTAATTATTGTTTCTATTTTAGCTCATATTTCTGAACATCCAAATCAGCAACCCAGTCACAAAATTCAGATTACTATGGGTTCTACAGAAGCTCGTGTTGATTACATGGGCTCAAGTATCCTCATGGGTATCTTCAGTAATGCTGATCTCAAGCTTCAGGATGAATGGAAAGTAAATCTGTATAATACACTGGATTCAAGCATGACTGATAAGAGGTATTTAGTAAAATGTTACTTTTTGAACACTTTATAGGACTGCTCCTAACATGTTTTCTCTCATCCAGTTAGAAAACACAAACAATTCACTTTTCTTGTAAAATGATTTTCTATTATGCAACAATATGAATGAAAAAGCTGGGTGGGTGAAGAAGGGAGTTTGGTTTTTGTTTTGTTTGGTTTTTTTTAGCTGTTTTGTATAAGATATATGATACTCTGTTTTATGCTTTAGTGAAATATTTGTCCATGGAGATCTGAAGTGGGATATTTTCCAAGTAATGATATCAAGATCAACTACACCGGACCTGATAAAAATAGGAATGAAACTCCAGGAATTTTTCACACAACAGTTTGACACCAGCAAACGAGCTCTGTCTACCTGGGGACCTGTTCCATATCTTCCACCTAAGACAATGACAAATAACTTAGAGAAAAGTTCACAAGAACAATGTAAGAATTAGAACTCAGCCTTTATATATGCTTTATCTTTCACTAAAAGTTGTGTTACAATTTTAATTTAATATATATACTACCTATATATCATACTTACAAAGTGGTTCATATGCTTTTTATTCTTTTCACTCAGCAAAGTACCTGATTTCCTGCCCATCAATGGAATTAAAGGCCATCATTTGGGAAGCCATCATTTATTATCTCCTCCCCCCTGCCAAACTCACCCATAACCATACCCACTCCATGCTCCTGAATACTAACTATGACAATACTGTGTTCTGGTTTAGAGCTTGGGCTGTGTAATCAGAATGTCTAAGTTTGGATTTATTAGATGTGTCATATTAGGCAGATATTCACTCAGTAATTCAATCAGCAAATCAGCTATGTTCTTAAGCATGGTTTTAGGCATAGGAGATCTACTAGTAGACAAAGTTCCTACCCACATAAAACTTTGTTCTAATGGGAGAGATAGACCATAGTTAATTTACTAACTAGGTAATTTCAGGTAGAAAGACGTGCTGAAAAAGCAGGGAAAAGAGATAAAGAATTCTAGTGTGTGAGGCTAGCTAGTGTAAAAAGGGGGTTCAGAGAAGCCTTTTCTGAAGTGAAAGATCTAGACTAGAAAGATCTCTTCTGGGAAAGAGAGTTGTACGCATAGGGGCCTACTGAAGAGTGCAAAGCTCCTACAGAAGAAAGTTGGCTTATTTGAGGATGATTAAGGTGGCTACTTTGTTGGAACAAAGTGAGCAAGCAGGAAAATGTTGGACATGAATGGCCACATTCATAATATTTTTAATATGATGGATAGCTCCATTGGAAAGTTCTGAACAGATTTGATATTTGATTTACTTTTTCTTAAACTTTTTTTAAAAGGGTATTTTATTTATTTGAAAGAGTGAGAAAATGAGATTCCCAGGTAGGCTCTGGGCTGTCGATAAGGGGCTCGATCTCACAAACTGTGAGATCATGACCTAAGGTGAAACCAAGAGTTGGATGCTCAACTAACCTCTTAAAATACTCCTTTTTAGAGAATCATTCTGGCTGCTGTGTAGAGAATAGACTATAGGTGGTTAAGAGTGGAAGTAGAGACCATCACAGTAATTACCATTACCATTATTGGACACATAGTAACAGTAAGGAGACCATTGGAAGAGTTCAGGCAACAAATGATGGTGGCTTTAATTAGAGAGAGGTAAAAGTGGTGAAAAGTAGTCAGAATCAGGATAATTTTAAATAATATTTTAGGGGCGCCTGGGTGGCTCACTTGGTTGAGCATCTGACTCTTGGTTTTGGCTCAGAGCATGATCTTACCGTTTGTGAAATTAAACCCTATGTAAGGCTCTGCACTGAGAGCATGGAACCTGCTTGGGATTCTCTCTCTCCCTATCCCCCACTCAAGCATGTGCACTTTTTCTCACTCTCAAAATAAACTTAAAATATAATTTTTTATAATCACAGAAGCAGTACATATGCACTGGAAAAGCCTAGAAAATAAATACAAGCAAAAAATAGAAACCTCACATTCCATCCAGAAATCAACACTCTGAACAGTTTATATGCTTTCAGATAATTTTCTATGAACCTATATACACATGTGCTTTTTACCAAAATATTGTTCATACTGTTTCGTAACCTTTTCTAGTGAACAATATCCAGTTTTCATTTTGCTAATTATCTTCTCTAGCCTTCTGAGGGCTATATATGTATACTGGTTTGGACAAATCAGTTGTAATATCGGTGTGTGTGTGTGTATGTATGTATGTATGTATATACATACATACACACACATATATATAAAATTAAAGATCCCAATTTAAATCTGGTTATGTTCCTTTACTCTCTTTTAAATCAGCATAGTCCTTTTTTTTATGACCTGACTTGTTGAAGAGACTTGGCCAATTTTCCTACAGAATATCCTTCTAGATTTTTTTTTCAGTTGTTTCCTTGTGGTTTCATTTATCTTGTTCCTCTCGTTTCTGTATTTCCTTTAAACTAGAATTGGTGTCAGGCACATTACAAATTAGAGAGATGTTCCCCAAAATGCCTGGCCTGGATTCTTCAAAAAAGTCCTTGTCATGGAAAACAACCCAGGCATAGGGAATTGTTTTAAAGGAAACTAAAGACACATAAAACTAAATACAATGTATGATCCTTGGTTGGATCTGGAATGAGAGTTGTGGAAAACAATCAAAAAGGACATTATTGGGATAAGTCAGAAATATAACTAGTGCTTCTCAAACTTTAATGTGCATCTGAAACACATGGAGATCTCATGAAAATGAAGATTCTGATACATTAGGAACAAGGTGGACTTAAGAGTCTCCATTTCTAGGGGGCGCCTGGGTGGTTCAGTCGGTTAAGCGTCCAACTTAGGCTCAGGTCATGATCTCGCGGTCCAGGAGTTCGGGCTCTGTGCTAACAGCTCAGAGCCTGGAGCCTGTTTCAGATTCTGTGTCTCCCTCTCTCTCTGACCCTCCCCCCGTTCATGCTCTGTCTTTCTCTGTCTCAAAAATAAATAAACGGTAAAAAAAATTTTTTTTTTAAATAAAAAAAAAAAGTCTGTTTCTAATAAGCTGCCACATGATGCTGATGCTGCTGGTCCTGAGACCACTTTTGAGTAGCAAGGGTATAAGAGAATTTTAAAAAATCAGGAGATCTGCATTTGATTTCTAGGTCTTCTAGTCACTGGTTCACTAAACCTCTCTTCTTCATTGAAAAGAATATAGATGAGGGGCGCCTGGGTGGCTCAGTCGGTTAAGCGTCTGACTTCAGCTCAGGTCACGATCTCACGGTCCGTGAGTTCGAGCCCCGCGTTGGGCTCTGGGCTGATGGCTCAGAGCCTGGAGCCTGCTTCCGATTCTTTGTCTCCCTCTCTCTCTGCCCCTCCCCGTCTCAAAAATAAATAAAACGTTAAAAAAGAAAAGAATATAGATGAAATACCTAATTTACAGAATTATTGTGAGAATTGTATAAAATTTCATGCAAGTACTTTGTAAATCATGAATCATTATAGAAATGTTAGTTGTAATTATTATTAGCAAGTTACTACTTTTCTTAATTCTATCCATCCTTATGAGCATCTTTTCCCAGACTATATTTTTATCAGCTTCTGCTTAATGTTAGCCAGGTGTTGGATTGTTTTCATCCCTTACCTGCATCACTTCAGCTGTAGAAAATAGCCACCTGCTGCCTTTCCACCTGCCATTCAGGATGTTTGAGAGGCACTTGAGGATAAGTGGTTTTTGGTTTTCTTGCAGTGCTTGATGCAGCTCATCATCGACATTGGCCTGGAGTATTGAAGGTGGTATCGGGATGCCACATATCCTTATTTCAGATTCCATTACCAGAAAATGGAATGCAGTTTGGAGGATCAATGAGCTTACATGGAAATCATATGACACTAGCTTGTTTTCATGGTCCAAATTTCCGTTCAAAATCCTGGGCCCTTTTTCACTTAGAAGAACCAAATATTGCTTTTTGGACTGAAGCTCAGAAAATCTGGGAAGATGGTAAATGGACACATTTGTAACTTTTACCTTTTCTTATGATTAACTTTTACCTTTCTGATATGAATATAAACGACAGAATAATTTTGCTTTCTTGTATCTTTTGTATGTTTTTCTTATATTACTGAAGTCCAGCCCTGTTTGTTCTCATGTACTTGACATGTCAAGGAGTTCATTGCCAATGTGTCAATATAGTCTGGGACATGCTTAAGCACTTACTTCTGAACTTGCCATCTTATTCTGTTTCTTAAGCAATTAAAGTTTCTGCGCTGTGTCTGGCCACAGTCATAATAAGTTATTGTAAATTTTTCTTATAAAAACATGATAAAAGACACATGGTGGTAGTTTAAGGAAACTGTCAGTCAAAACTATTATAAAACTTTTATGGGTAAGGCTATGCTTTTACCTCTATTTACAGTGATAAACCTCCTTCCTTTTAGCTTTAATTTCTTAATCTGTGGTTTCTTAATAATAAAGAAAAAATGGTTGATGCTCATCATCTTACTGGGGACAAATCAAGTTATAACTAAAAGAAAGAAAACCTATTTGTGATTTTTTTTCTCACTTACTCTTCAGTTTTACACTCTTTCTTACTTATGTATGAGTTAGCTAAGTCTATTGCTCTAAAGCCACAACTATTTTCTTGCATCTAAATATAGCTTGTTAACATTAAGAAACCTTTTTTTTTCTTCTAGGGTCTAGTGATCATTCTACATATATTGTACAAACGCTGGATTTTCATCTGGGCCATAACACCATGGTTACCAAACCATGTGGTGCTTTGGAAAGTCCTATGGCAACAATAACTAAGATAACAAGGCGTCGCCATGAGAATCCACCCCATGGAGTAGCAAGTGTGAAAGAATGGTTCAATTATGTTACAGCCACAAGAAATGAAGGTTAAAAGTTTATTTCTTTAAAGAGATTTGTTTTCTCTATTTGGAGCCCTGTTAACCTGTGTTTAGAATTTAATTAGAGGGAGAATTTGCATTTATTTTAAATCAGTTTCATTTTATTCCTGATGACATAGTACTAATGTACATGATTCACCACCCTGGTTGTGCAACATCTCAAAAACTAGACACTATTTTAGATGTAAGAAAACATTCAAAAATAAAGTTGGTTTAAATAAATGAATTTTATTATAGTTAAAATATTTTTGTAGTGATGCTAAATATCAGAGGTTTGGTAAAGTTATTACACAACTAAGTAATACAATGCCACAAACTTAAGGTTTGGGATGGTTGGTATAAAATGAAGCTAAATAATAATATTCCTATGAAATAAGTTTAAAAAGAGCACTTTTGGTGAATTTTTCCATTTGATTAGAATCACCAATCTTGTGATAATGTGGTCAGGAAAATTCTTATTTTGTGGTTGTTTTTGTGTTCAAGTTTATAGTACTGGCTTTTACCAATCATGTCATCTGTCCTGGAAAGGTGACTAGATTCAGACCCGTGAAGACTTGAATGTTGTACAGAAATAACCATCTTTCAAAACTGTAAAGATGACTTAAGTCCCATTGAAAAAGTTACTATGGAATAGGTCATCCCAGGGGTTAGAGACTGTTGAAAATAATCTGAGAAGAAAAGGATAAGGAAGTAAATTAGAAGATTATGTATGCATTGACTATTCTGTATTGACTATTCTATCTTCCAATAGAATTTTTGGAGAAGGGAGTTCTTTTTGGCTGGTATACCATGTTGGGGCTATTAGCAAACTTCACTGCTACCTATATACCTAAAAAATTATTAACTTTTATAAGAAAACCATAGCACATATGCTGGAGAAAATCAGGACTTCTACCTGATTTCAAAGTCAGGAACATATTTAATTGCAAATTCTCTTAAGAGTAAAGTATTCACAATATGAATGAAACTCATGTGTGGAATTTAAGAAACAAAACAGAAGAACATAGGGAAAGGGAAGGAAAAATAAGATTAAAAACGGGGGGGGGGCAAACCATAAGAGATTCTTAAATACAGAGAACAAACTGAGTGTTGCTGAAGGGGAGGTGGGTGGGTGATGGGCATTAAGGAGGGCGCTTGTTGGGATGCACACTGGGTGTTTTATGTAAGTGATGAATCACTGGGTTCTACTCCTGAAACCGGTACTACACTGTATGTTAACTAACTTGAATTTAAATAAATAATGTACTCTTAAAAAAAAGAGTAAGGTATTCAGTCTATGGAGAATTCTGAGCTTAATTAAACTCTTAAATTTAAACATGAATTTAGTTAAAAATAATATACATTTTAATGTTTGAGAAATAAAAACAAAATAGATTTATCCAAAGTCATGTTATAAAGCTTTAGTCATGAGAACAGTGATAGAATCACTATATATATATGTAGTATATATATACCATATATATATGTGTATGTGTATATATATACATATATAAATAAAACTGTACATATATAAACATATTACTATATTTGTAAATATAAACAAATAGATAATAAATATATTTAAATAGATAAATATATTTAAATAGACCAAAGCTTTATATGGCTCTATTTTTAAAAATGTGAATCATTATTTTCCAGCTTCTAAAATGATAAAAATTCTGTGAAAATTATATGCTTATCAATGTTTACTGGTTTAATTTGATTCCTTTTGTCTTTATTATCCACATAGAGCTAAACTTGCTTCGTAATGTTGATGCTAATAATACTGAGAATAGTACTACAGTGAAAAATTCTAGTTTGTTGAGTGGATTCAGAGGAGGTTCTAGCTACAATCATGAAACAGAGACTATCTTTGCTTTACCAAGGATGCAGCTTGAATTTAAATCCATTCATGTTCAAGAGCCACAAGAACCTTCATTACAGGGTATGTGGAAAAATAGTTTCTAAAGTTACTAAGAAAATTCTAAAGGAACTTCAGATTACTGTGTTCACACAGGTTGTGTAATATTAATATAGTGTAATGAAATTGCTTAGTCAAATTTTCTTATCAGCTGTATGACTTCTGGCAAATGATTTAATCTATTTGTACCTCTTTCTCTTTGGGAAAATGGGGAGTAATAACAGGACCTCATTCATAGGGTTTTTATGAGGAATAAATGGTACATATTTGGAAAGTGCTTAGTAAATTATCATCATTTGTAAATCACATACAGAAACTGCTCATTTCTCTGTAGTTGCATTTAAATGGATTCATTTATATGCACCCATGTAAAATCGCTTATTAAGAGAAAGGGACTTCTTTCGTTAAGTCTTTTACTATAGAACTTTGCCATTGCAGATGCCAACCTGAAGCCGAAGGTAGAATGCAGTGTGGTGACAGAGTTCACTGATCATATTTGTGTGACTATGGATGCTGAGCTCATCATGTTCCTTCATGATTTAGTGTCAGCTTACCTTAAAGAAAAAGAAAAAGGTGGGTAGCATGTTCTTTTTTCTTTCTTTCAATTGAGCTTCAGGAAAGGCAGTTGTCAGTGCCATTTATATGGATTTTTATGGTCTAATGATAAAATGACTGGAATGTGTCTCCGTCCTTTATGAGTTGTATGTATCAATGAAATACATTGGTAAAACTGTGTGACAGACTATCTACTATGTACATGACAGTCAAAATATACCTCACACTGAATGGTGTTTTATTACTTTACCAAATGTTTCCATATAAGCTATGTACATTATCAGGACTTGTAGGAGAATCAAAGAAAGAAAGAAGAGAAAGAACATTTCTTTGAGGAAACACTGCTAGTCAAAGTGAAATGGCTAAAGAAACAACTACATAATAAAGTAGCATGAGTTATAAACATAATTGGGAAAACTCAATTAAGTAGATAAGTCTGTTAGAATGCAGAGAACATTATCTTTTTAGAAATAAATTATTTAGACCTCATTGGTGGGGTTTTGTTTTTATGAGCTAGCTAACATTGGTTTACTCACTGGAAACTTACATGTTTGTCCATTAAGAAACATATGGCAGGGCGCCTGGATGGCTCAATCGGTTAGGCATCCGACTTCGGCTCAGGTCATTATCTCACAATTCATGATTTCGAGTCCCGCGTTGGGCTCTGTGCTGATAGCTCAGAGCCTGGAGCCTCTCTCTCTCTCTCGCTTTCTCTCTCTCTCTCTCTCTCTGAAAAATAAACATTAAAAAATTTTTTTTTTTAAGTTTATTTATTTATTTATTTTTTTTTTTTTATTTTTTTTTTCAACATTTACTTATTTTTGGGACAGAGAGAGACAGAGCATGAACGGGGGAGGGGCAGAGAGAGAGGGAGACACAGAATCGGAATTTTTTAAGTTTAAAGGAACATGTGGTGACCCTAATATCCATATAGAATGGATATAATAGAATCCATTCCATCCTCTGTAGCTGTTGAAAAGAATGAGGTAGTCTGAAATGTAATGATATGGAATGCCTTCCAAATATATAGTCTTTATTCACCCAGTAAGTATTTATTGCACAAACCTATGAATATATAGTGGTAAAACAATAGACATGATTTTCTTAAAAAGAATTTTTTTTTAATGTTTGTTTATTTTTGAGAGAGCAAGACAGAGCATGAGCAGGGGAGAGGGAGACACAAATCTGAAGCAGGCTCCAGGCTCCAAGCTGTGAGCACAGAGTCCGATGTGAGGCTCAAACTCATGAACCATGAGATCATGACTAAACCAAAGTGGGATGCTTAACCGACTGAGCCACCCAGGTGCCCCAGGATGTGATTTTTTTTTTAATTGCCTAGAAAACATGCTATTTGTTTAGATCACCCTGTAATACTTCATTTTCTTCATGAATAAATATAAAATTTTTCTAGCAGTATTTCAAAATAGGCTCATGATAAATGTTTGGGTGAACAAAACAGATTATTAAAAAAAAAATGCAAAAGCAGCATAGCACAGATTGAATTGCTGTTCCATTACTATTAAATCTAGATGTGTCAACAATTCAGTGAGAGTAAAATCAGTAACGATGACTGAAAGAAATCTATGAGACAGGAATTGAAACTTAAATGACTGAAATCATTTAATAGGAAATACTTTATATAAGTAGATCCAGTCTTCACTTATAGCACCAACATATAACAGGCACTATTGTAATCCTCCTGTTTTTCTCTCTGCCTTAATATTTGAACTTAATGTGGAAAAATATTCCAAGTAAATCTGTGAAGTTCAGAATTCTTTTCTAGTATACCTGTATATAAAAGCCTGCCAGATTTCTTTCTCACAGTTATGTGAAACCTTTGTCACTTCACGAAATACTGTGTTGGTCTTGGTCTATGAACTGTGCATATTTTTTTAAAAAATCTTTAAATACATGGGGCGCCTGGGTGGCGCAGTCGGTTAAGCGTACGACTTCAGCCAGGTCACGATCTCGCGGTCCGTGGGTTCGAGCCCCGCATCGGGCTCTGGGCTGATGGCTCAGAGCCTGGAGCCTGTTTCCGATTCTGTGTCTCCCTCTCTCTCTGCCCCTCCCCCGTTCATGCTCTGTCTCTCTCTGTCCCAAAAATAAATAAACGTTGAAAAAAAAAATTTAAAAAAAAATAAATAAAAATCTTTAAATACAAACTGTTGCACACACACACACACAAAAGAGAAACAGACTCACTGAGAACAAACTGGTGGCTCCCAAAGGGGAGAGGAATGGGACGATAGGGGGAACAGATGAAGAGGATTAAGAGCTACACACTTCCAGTTATAAAATAAGTCATGGGTACGAAAAGTAAAGCATAGGGAATATAATCAATAAAATTTTAATACACTGCTTGTGGTGAGCATTTCAAAATGTATATAATTGCTGAATCACTATGTTGTATACCCGACCCTAATATATATGTAAATTATTTTTCAATTAAGAGTAAAAACACAAACTTGTTTAATATCATTTCATGGGAAAGAGGAAATGGGAATTTGATTATCAGACTTACAGTAACCAAGTGTTATTATCTATGTGGATTTCAGTTATAAATAAAAATATGTTAACGGTTATATTTTGTTATTAAAAACTAAAAGAAATTAGTTTTGACCAAAATAAGTATAAACATGCCAGAGAATATTATTAACAGCATGTAAGACTAGACCAAATCAACATATTTCTATAACATCAGATCAATTATAGCACCATAACCATTACCAATAATAAAAGAGCAACTGAGCAGGCAGTAACTGCCTATATTCTTATGTGGTGTGATAGTGTGACAATAAGTACAGTTTTATTCCTAAGCTCATTCCCAGTCCATGTGTTACCCTGCTGCTAATCTACAATAAAGTTAAAAACAGGCTACACAAATTTATTAAAAGTACATTACATGAAAACTATATTTCAGATTTGATTTTGATTTTATATATATTATGATCACCAATTTAAAAAGAACTTGTCTTTCATAAAACATTTGAGTATGCACTTATAAGAATGAAAGGCTGCTTATGTAAAAAGCTTAGAACCAGTGTTCAAATATATATAGACATTTACATCCTAAAACTACTGAGTAATACACTTTATTGAGACACAATTCACATATAATACAGTTCACTCATTTAAAGCTATTTAAAATGTCCACCTATAGTCATTCTTTAGGAAACTATTAACTGTCAATTTTAGTGCCCCATGCCTGTTGTCAAATCTTGTCATTCTTTACTATTAGTGTTAAGCACAGAAATATACATAAAATATATGCTATTCCTCAAAAATATGTTAACTTTAATACTGTCTTTCTTTAAGAAATACCAATAACTGGCACTTGTTTATGGCTTATTTTTAAATACTAGTTTTTCAGAAATATCATTAAATGAGGCTTTGGCCAGTTCATAAGTAAAATGATAAATGGAACTAATTACACTATTCATATGGTGATTTAAGATAAATTTATTATATACTTGCAATATTAATCTATGATTTTCATCATAGCCATTTTTCCACCTCGGATTTTATCTACTCGACCAGGACAAAAAAGTCCAATTATTATACATGATGACAATTCCTCTGACAAAGACAGAGAAGACAGCATCACTTACACTACTGTGGACTGGAGAGATTTTATGTGCAACACATGGCATCTAGAACCCACTCTTAGGTAAGTAGAAGGTATATATATTTACCTATATCCTACAGGATTATTATGAGAAAAAGGTTATAAATGATGTAGTAAGTTAAATATGATTTACCAAAAACTTTTTAGAAGTTAGCTACTTATAACATCTCTAACTTCTGGCTATGCTTTCTGCTCCTTTCTGCTTTTTTAAGTTCTTCTAGTCAGGGCAAAAGAAGCACAAACACTGCAAATAGCTCAGCATCCTCCACTGTGTAACATTCTTCCAGTTAATCACTAAAATATGAGAGTAACTCTACTTCCACCATTGCTGCTATGTTTTTACCAGGATATTAATTTCAGGTGTTTGAAGTACCTACAGTTAACTTTTTTGTTACTAAGTTTGGGTAGATACAGTAGCAGCCACACATTAAGGAATTATTACAATTTCTCACATATGTCATGACAATGTAATAGAACCTGCAATGTCATAGTTCGTCTGCATGCTAAGCAATACAGAACCATCCCTGAAATGTTGACTTTAATGCTGTCAGATTCAGGTTCATTTACCGAGTCATATTCTAATACAATCATGATGCCAATTACATCAACTTACTTTCATATTAAAATGTCAGTAGTATTTTCTAGTTTTAATTACATTTATAATGGCTGCTATAACTAGTGATATTTGCAGTTGTGTGTCCTTGTTTATGATTACCACTTATGACCTTCCTATCATTTTTCCCTTTCCTTTCATCTGCTTTGCTAATGAAATTTTAACTCTCTGAATCATGGAATAATGGTATCAAAAAAAGGTCATCATAAGAAAATTCTAGCATATTTCTGCATAATGATACAGATTTCATTTAGATAAGGTTATTCAGACATATTTATGCCACAAAATAATTCCAAACTAACAAAATATCCATTATACAGTAGACTCTTGTAAAAACAAAGTAGTGACTTTGTGTTAATTTGTATTCAATAAAATTTGGTATGAATTAATAGTACATATACTCATGAAAAGTATTAACAGTGTCAGTGCTCAGGAACAGAATTAAATATTGCAGAGGTTCTAATGCAGAAAACTACTTAGAAAATTTGTTTTGTATTTGTAAATCTATGATGAAATTAAATACCTTTTAATTTGAACTTAAAAAGGTAAAAAGTGGTGGAGAGCATGTTGAAGAGCTCTGGCTCTAAGTCCAGGTTTATAGATAGCATGGTAACTAAATTATCTTGGCCAGAGGATCTAACCTAGTTCTGCCTCAGTTGCTTTATATGAACAATTGGTAAACAATATTACCTACCTCGTAGGGTTGTTACAATGGTTAAATGAGTTAATGCAAAATGCTTATAACTATTAGAGTTTTAGCAGATCAATGCTTAATACCCTCTTTTTCCCTTCCCAAGTTCAGAAGCAATTAAGACAGTGGGAGAGAGGCAGCTGCAAATCAAAATGGCAGTTTTAATACTGATAAGGCCCATAACAGAGAATGTGATTTCTATGTCTGGAAACAATGGCTTTCTACTACAAAGTCCAAGTTTGGACTTACCTACAGGGCCTTCATGATGGAGAACTCAGGGTGGAGGCGGGTGTACACCAGAATTGTGCAGTTGACAGCTCTGTGAACTCACCTAGCTACAGGCGGCCATGAACAGTCTTGGGTTAACCTATTTAGGAGTCTGTCCTTGAGAAACCTATTGCATGAAGGGACGGATCAAAATGAGTGGCTCTTAAGAGAAGGTAGGGAAGAGGGCACTAAACTACACTATATGGTTCCTCTGTTAACTTGTCAAACAGATAAATCATCAATAAGGGAGCAGAGAAAGGTCAGTAGTGTTTCACAAATGGCTATTCCTCTCTAAGGAAGGAAATGCCAGGAATAGGGAAAAAACTGTGTCCTTCAGACACGTTTAGCCCATAGCAAACAATACATTTTAGCCTTTTTCCCCCCACCATTATGCCACATATGTTGAACTCTCAGTTTTATTGAGATAAAACTGACAAAACACGTAAGGTATTTTAAGTGTACAGGGTCATAAATTTTATATCTGTAAACCTTGTAAAAGGATTCCTCCCATCAAGTTAACATCTTTTAGAATGAACCAGATGTTCTTTAAATATTAAGATGACCCTGTAACTTAAGCCTAAATCAAAATGAGATTCATTTAGTCCACTGCTGTCAAGGATGCTTATAATAGTGAATGCTATTATAGTGAACCCAGGAATTGTAGCTTAGATTACTCAAATGCACCTACTGAGAATATTTTGTCCTAAGCATATTATGGAGGTTTAGTGATGTTCTTGAATCTACCTTTAGGACTGTGTTAGGGCACTGTACTCCCAAATAACTTTTATACTTACAGATTAATTTCTTGGACTGGAAGAAAAATTGATCCAGTAGGTGTTGATTATATTCTTCAAAAACTGGGCTTCCATCATGCCAGGACTACAATTCCTAAATGGCTTCAAAGAGGAGTCATGGACCCACTTGATAAAGTTCTCTCAGTTCTTATCAAAAAACTTGGTACTGCACTACAGGATGAAAAGGAAAAGAAAGGAAAAGACAAAGAAGAACACTAAAAAAGTAACTCATCTGTGAACAAACTGTGATTGTGTCCGTTAAGTTTTATTACACTGGAGTGTTTTTTCTTTTTGTATAGTAAACTTATTTCCATTATAAATTAAAATAATTCTAATTTTGTGGTCATTACATTGAGAGTTTGTAAGTTAATCTGTTTATTCTAGTTCCACCATTCTGTATACAGTGAAGTATTGCATGGTAATGTAAATTTTGTGAAAAACTAGATTAAAATATATAAATCTGCTTGGTAGGGTTTATAATTGTATTATGTGCAATATGATTCCTCCATCTTTAAAATATTTTCAGAGTAACTGTGAATTTCCTTTGATATTGGCCATAACTTTTAGGAAAAATCTTGCTGATAATGTGATTTTTTTTGGTCATTAATTGTTTTTTCTTTTTTTAAAAGGTAGCCTTGTATAAATACCTATTTGTATATAGTTTGAGTAATTGTGATATGATTGAATACCACTAAAATATTGTTTGTAACTATTGTAATAAAGTCACAATAATTCGTTTCACTCTGTAGTTTTGATAGCTTATTTTTATAATTCTTGCAACAATGAAATCCTTATAAAGATTAGCTCAAGGAGGATGCAATCAGGAAGAGGCACAGCAGAGGCTTAAATATTAGATATTGTTCTATATATATATTTATTTAGACAGCAAGGCACACACGTGAGAGCAGGGGAGGGGCAGAGAGAGAATCCCAAACATGCTCCATGGTGTCAGCACAGAGCCTGACTTGGGGCTCAATCCCACAAACTGTGAGATCCTGATCTGAACTGAAATCAAGAGTCAGAGGCTCAACAAGCTGAGCAACCCAGGCATGCCATTATTCTTTTTTTTTTTTTTTAAGTTTATTTAAGAGACAGAGGGAGGGAGAGAGAGAATCCCAAGCATGCTCCATGCTGTCAGCACAGAGCCTGACCTGGGGCTCAATCCCACAAACCCCTGAGATCATGACCTGAACTGAAATCAAGAGTTGGATGCTTAACTAACTGAGCCACCCAGGCACTTCTCTATTTCTTAAACTAGTGGTGAGTACACAGCTGTATGTTCTTACACTGTGTATGTAAATTTATGTGTATCCTTTTTAAAAACTTTATATATATAAATGTATATATAGTATACATGCAGAAGGATAATAAGATTTTAAAAAGACTAGCAAACTCTAAAGAAATATTCAAAAGTACTTATAATCAACTATATTCCTCCCCCCACACCCCCACAACTCAGGTTTGAAATCTAGCCAAGGCTGTACAGTCAGTTTAAAGGTTGGGTAAAAAGTAGAACTGAAAAATCCTAGAGCTAGAAAATGCCTCAAAAAAGTCCATGATGCAGACTCTTGCATTGGGTAGACAACAAAGTGTCTGACAGATTAAAAATAATAATAATTACAGAAGAGCCTCTTGCATATGCGCGCGCACACACACACACACACACACACACATAAGTGTTGGTAGGGGAATTAACTACTATCACACAGCAATTTAGTAACAACTAAAAGCCTAGTATCTAGAGTCATAATTTTATATTCTTTCTGCTAGACCATCTTTTCTATCATCTGCCAGTTCTCTGCATCACCATTACAGTTGGGGGCTACATGTACATAATTTCTACTGGTCAGGTTTACCAGAGAAGCAAATTCTATGTCTACTATGGATCTAGTGTCTAAGATAAACTACCAGAAAGTTACTTCATAAAACAAACCAACTAAAAATTAAAGAAATTAGTTCCTTGAGTCCTACTCCAGGTATGTATTCTCTGCTTTAAAGAAACAGTATGCTAGTTATAAATGTTAAAAATTTCCCATGGCTTTATATATTATTGACGTATGAGCTAACAAAAAAAAATGATCTAAGTATAAACTTACTTGATTTCTAGCACTGTGATAATGTTTTACTGTGATAAAAACATGAAACCATAAGAATTCTTGAGGAGAACACAGGCAGTAACCTATTTGACATTGGCTGTAGCAACTTCTTTCTAGATATGCCTCTTAAGGCCAGGGAAACAACTACTGAAACTTCATTACAATAAAAAGTTTCTTCACAGCGAAACAAAATTAAAAGGTAACCTAGGACATGGGAGAAGATATTTGCAAATGACATATCTGATAAAGGGTTAGTACCCAAAATCTATAAAGGAATTTCTACAACTCAACACCCAAAAAACAATCCAATTAAAAAATAGGTAGACAGACATCAACAGACATTTTTCCAGAGAAGATACACAGATGGTCAACACACACATGAAAAGATGCTCAGCATCACTCATCATCAGGGAAATATAAAACTACAATGAGACATCACCTCACACCTGTCAGCTAAAATCAACACAAGAAAAAACAGGTGTTGGTGAGAATGTGGAAACAAGGGAACCCTCTTGCACTGTTGGTGGAATGCATACTGGTGCAGCCACTCTAGAAAACAGCATGGAGTTTCCTCAAAAAGTTAAAGAACTACCCTATGATCCAGCAATCTCACTACTAGGTATTAATCCAAAGAATATAAAAATACTAATTCAAAGGGATACATGCACCCTGATATTTATATTATCTACAAGAGCCAAATTATGGAAACAGCCATAAATTATTAGTCAAATTATAGAAACAGATGTGGGGCTAGATCTCATGAATTGTGAGCTATGACCTGAGCCTTAACTGAATGAGCTACTTAAGCACCCCAAGAGAATGACTCTTAACTAAAGAGAACAAACATGGTGACCAGAGGGGAGGTGGGTGGGGGGTAGGTGAAATAGGTGATGGGGATTAAGGAGTGCACTTGTGATGAGCACCAGGTGTTGTATGCATGTGCTGAATCACTACATTGCACACCTGAAACTAATATTACACTGTATGATAACTGGAATTTAAATCATATTTTTTAAAAATTTTTTAAAAAGAAGAGGGCAATTTAAATCTGTAACTTCAAAATTTCTGTGGCTCCACTGGACAAAGCTATAAAAAAAACCTCTATTTGTGTATTACTGGTAGGAATGTAAATTGGAACAACCCCCATGGAGAAAAATTAGGCAAGAGCTATGAAAATTACAAAGGCATATAATCTTTGCCTTCTCACTGCAGGATGTACCTTCATGTGTGTGAACTATGTAAGAATATTTTTTGCATTATTTGTAATAAGTCGTTGAAAACAATTCAAATATCCATTCAACAAAAGACAGGTTAAATAAAATATGGCAGGCCCTTTTGGTGGAATATGCAACTGTAAAAAAAAAAATAGTAAGGATGATGTTTGTCTAATATTAAATGAAGCAAGATGCATCAAGCTATGTAGATTACAAAGTTTCCAGTCTATCAAAATTATCTTCTTCTATTCCAGGAAATCACATGATACATCCAGGTTTTCTGTAAAATTCCAATAACATTTAACAAAACCTTCACAGCTGTGAAGATATAGTAAAAAATAATTTTTTAAAATTACCATGTGAAACACCAAATCTATGAAGTACCAATCTAAACTACCAACATAATACTTATAAAATACAGTATGAATCAATTATTCAAAATACAAAAATTAAAAAAATGCTCAAGGACATATAAAATACAAGCTCAAATTTTTAATTATTAGAATCAATTTTATTATTACACCGAAGTGTTGAGTTCTACTCATCCCTAAAGAATTTCAAAATAACAGAAACAGAACATTGACAATTCATGGAGTGGCCTCAGTCCCCGGGCCATACTAAATAGAACTGCCTTACAAATTTCTCCATCTTTATTATGGAATGGTGTCTTCTGAAGTTAACTGGAGTAAACCTGGTTACCTGAGTATTCTGGTCATTTTCTATGACAAATGATACTGCCAGAATGCTTGTGCCCTCTGCACAGTGAGAGCTAGATATTCATCTCATGTCACTTGAACATGTTCTAAAGTCTGTTGAGAATCTCTTTTGTTTTTCAATTCAGACCTCAAGAACATAGTATTCTTACCCAAAAGTGTTAGATGGCTAGATAGTCCTCAATTGAAAAAAACTAATAAATTCAAGTTTTGTGAATTTTGTCTGCTTTACCTGTGCAGACCAGAGTCAAGCAACTCAAGGCCAGGAAAGGCCTTTTTTGCATCTCTCATCACTGAAATGCAGCCAGATCAACACTAAACCATCCTGCACACCTAGAAAACTGATTCGAGGATTAACACAATCTGAACAACCTGAACCACAGAACTCAGCAGGTACATGGCACAGAGAGGTAAATTGGGAGAGAGAGAAGCTGCAGAGGGCAGGGAGAAGCTGCAGAGACAGGGGGAGAGTAGGGGAAAAGCACACTGTGCTCCAAAGTAGCTGAAGAGAAAGTGGAAAAGTGGAAACAGCTGCAGGGACTGAACAAAAAAAAGGGAGAATGGAGAAAGGAGAGGGTTTAAATTCCATTAAGATAAACGGGGAGCACAGTCTGAAACAACGCAGCTTGATACCTGGTGGTGCTCTGGTGGGAAGGGCAAAGCCCAGGAGCAGAGAGATCCAAGGGGTCTTCAGGCCAAATGGGGAGGAGCGGTTCCCCTGCTGGGGAGACATTTGGTCGAGGCTATGTGGCCACTCCACAGGCAAAGGTCCCAGTGAACCCTAGAGAACAACCACATTCGCTGGTGCTGGAACAAAATATTTAAGGGGGAAGCCTGGCACCAGATGTGTGTTGTGATTTTCTATAATCCCCGAAATGCTGCTGCTACATAACCATGTGAACTTCTTCTGGGGTGGGCTGGCACCCAGCTGCAGTCTCTGGGCATCAGCAGTAGCACGGTCCTGTGAACGTTCCTGGGGGTGTGCGGGCACCCAGCCATTGCTTGCTGAGACCCTCCCCAGGAGGTCTGAGTGAGTCAAAGCTGCAGTCCCACAGAAGTGAGGGGTTGGAAAGTACAGCTGCATCTGAGATAAAACTCAGGAGAGCGGTGCCACCTAGCAACGTGATGGCTTGGTTTTGGACAGTGTAAAAGCAGGAAGTGGACGGAAGCCGGGGACAAAGGAGGGGTGTGCAAAAGC